CGCATTATAATTAATAAAGAAATTGTTTGCGCAAAATCAAAAATAATCATCAATTTGGCCTAAAGTCTGTATAAAGAAAAAAAGTGTTGAGAGCCAGCATCCATGGGCTGTCAAATCAAATTGCAGGCAGCCATTATGCCACTGCCGATATGTCCATCAACTGAACACCGAACAGGCGCATCACACCATCATCTCCATCAGCATCATCATCATCATCATGTTTAATGCAAAGAGCATCGTGATGGCCGGGCGCAACAATTTGGCCAACATGAAAATTTCATTGGAAATTAGCTGGTAATGTTGCCTCTGGTGGCCTTCGATGGACATCAATGCGAGTTGCAAGGCTTAATTAGATGCCGCATCAACAAGGTGTTAAATGCGCTGCAATTATGTGGCCGCGTGGGCCCCAAAAATAAGAAATAACAAAAAAGGTAAAATGGAAAGCTGGACGTGCTTTGAAGATGGGGTGTTGAAGTTGGTGTTCAGGTTGATGCTGATGTTGATTTTTTGCCCAAGTAGAGCAGCACCAGCAGCAGACGAGGAGTTGGAGGTTGTCTGTGCAACACCTGGAGGCATAAGTTGCTCTCGTTGGACGACGACGACGATGCTGATTATGCAGAGGTGATAATTGCAGTGTCCGGCGCGTCAAGATTTATTTTTTGAGCTTTAACGATGTGTTAAAATAAATTGCATATATGCGCGGCATTTTGTACCCTATATAGGAGCATACGAGTATTCGAAAACCCACAAAACGTCGCAACTGTGTACATAAAAATTTAATGGGCGCCCTGTTGGGCAAGCAACAACCAAGTTGTTGCCACTTCTGCCCCAACTCCAACTGCAACTCCAACTCCTGCCCCTTCCACTGCCACGAGGTGTGTATAGTAATTGGTGGCCCTATTAAAATATCAGCTGGGGTCAGGGAGTTGCCGCCGCCTGCTGTTGTTGGCCACAGCGGCGTGCGCCGGCGCATAAATTGCGTATTTATTGGTACTTTCTAAAATGTAAAATCTGCCCTTTGCTGCTGGTCAACAACAACAAATGTACTATATATTTATGGCTGAGCACGGTATGCTGTACGCTGAACGCCGTTTTCGTTTTCGGTTTCCTTTTCATTTTGCATCAGCTAACGGTAATAGGCGATGCTACAATTGTTTAGCCGTTGCTGCCGCCGCCTGAAACATGTTCCAGAATCGGTTCGGTTGCGTTTAGCCAGAGGAGGCGGTCTGTAATTCGATAGTCTGGCAGAGGTTAACCTCAAAAATGCGCAGCCACAGCCACAGGCACACCAAACCAAACCAAACCGAACCGAACCAAAGAAGCGAGCGTCTGCAACTTTTCTTTGCCTTCTTCCAATGAATTTTGCGGCACTTGTCTGCATGTCGCATCCACACACTTAACGAAAAAATGTAAGCTTTAATATGTACTTACATAGTATTCTTTTGTAGAAAATCAACAATGTGTATTATGCCAGGGGCTTCCAATTATTTCAAAAAAGATCTTAGTGAATTAATCGACACACTAAGTACCTCATTAAAAAGTTTCGAGACTGATATATTTATAAGGAGAGACGAATCAATATAGATTCCTTGAATCATTTCAAAGGCCGCACCACAAACATGTGCTAATTTAGTTTAAAGAATTCATCAAGCGAAACGAAGTAACACTCGTACTTATATTTTTGTGTAGTACCTCTGTATGGAACAGAGCTATCAAGCCAAGAATCGTCCTTACTGTAACATTGGAGCCAGTTGTCTTCTCTCTAAAGAGAATTCATCTTGATCGCCAAACGATAAACGTATTTCGCTATCGATTATACATCGATAATCGAACTTAAAAAAGTTAATTTACTGTGCTTCTAAAACCTATGTAAATAAATGAGTTATTCATTTTGAGTTTGTGTTGTTTTGAAACGTACTTTAAAAAACTTGATTATGTTTTACAACAGTCAAATAATTCTACATTTTATCCGTGTTATAGTATTGTCTTTATAAATATTTTGTTTTTCCAAAATGTTTTCTAATTTTAAATGCACGCCATAAGAACGGTTGTTCTAGAAACAATCTGAAAATAGTAGAAATAAGTTTTCTGTTTATTTTGTATTTGTTAGGTATTCAATGGCAATGTTAATTTTTAAACTTCTTTCAATATGAAGACTGTGACTCGGGTGAATGTAGAGTACCAAGTCGATAGACCCCACTTGTGCAGACCACACATTGTAGTGCTGAGCTCAAAAATATTGAATAGTTCCAAAATAATAGGTCACGGGATTGAGAAACATTTAAATAAGTTAAGCTCTTGGAAATCAACGTTGAAATGAAAGCTTTCTTTAGGAAATTATTTCAATAATGAATATATGATATTATAATTGTCTTATTTAAAAGGATAATTGGAATAATTCATGTATTATAGGTATTATTGTCACATTTTCGTGATCCCCTCAAGAATGATTTCGGAAACATGTCTTAACAAATACAGGCTTTATTTATTTGTTAGCTTGATGTTCAAATTCTTTTCCAATGAGCTGCATTTCCAGCCAATAGGCGTACCATTATTTGTGCAGTGCATGGATTTCCTGAAGACTAGGGGCTGCGTCTTATAAACTGTTCGGTAATTCGAGCCAACTGTGACCCAAAGTTTAACATATCGTATTTTATGCACAGTTACTTCTCCGCATTGGCCGCAGCCCGCAGGCAGCTCGTTGTCCGTTGCATTTGTCTGCCTAATCAGTTGTGCATAATTAACAGCTACTGTGTACGCTCGGCGCTTCTTCCGCTTGGCTAAAGCAGTAAAGCACTAAAGCACTAAAGCATGTGCCAGACACATGCAAGGGAAAGGCCCCCGACCTGACATATGGCCGGGTTGCAGCTGCAAGTAAAAAGATTGCCTGTACTTGCAGCCCTTTTCTCCCATTTTTTGTCAGCACTTCTTCTCCATTTTTTTTTTTTTTTTTTTTTTTTTGGGTGTAGCACGTGCTTCAATGAACACGCTCGAATCACGGCTACAGTTGGTTGGAGCTGCACTTGGATGAGCGGAAAAAAGAAACTATACGCACGCTTATTAGAACATCTTCCCTGTCTTCGCTTTTCTGAGAACCATTCTGCCGATCATTCATTCTCATTCCACTTTTTGGCATTTGTCCATCAAAGCTCGCGCCACCAACGTTGTCCAGATCGGAGCGCACCAGTCTAGCGCCACACAGCCTTCAAAGTTTGGCGGCAACAGCAGCTGCCATGGACAATGGTCTGTCTGGTTGGTTCTGAAACATCCGTTCGCTCATATCCGTCGAAATTCGGCAAATCTTAAAAGCTTCAAATTCTTAGAAATTCAGCCTAGAAATTCTATCTAGTCAGGATCGTTGGGCGCAGGCTCATTGATTTTGCTGGTGCGGCTTTTTGATCTTTAACCGGCTGGCGAGCCATTCTTCATTGACTTCATGGGCCGGCCGGCCATTCGACAGCTGGCCAGCGCCCAAGAATGAGTTGCAAAGGTTTCGGATCCCGAAAAAGGTTTGAATGCTTGCGCATGCGCCAAACGTTTTGTTAGATGGACTTGGACTTGACAGTGTCTAATGTCTGGGGCCAGTTGTTGCTTTTACAGAAATTGGAGCAAAGGTTTCATTTTTAAGGAACGGACAAGGTCAACTTTGAAAGCGGATCCATATTTGATATTTGTGCAGACGTTAGATGCCTGGTCAAAAGGTAAAATGTGGCAATTAAATATTTTTAAGAAATTCAACTTCCTTTTCAAACATTGCCGAATTAATGCCCAGTAATGCATGAATTGCAGCTTTCCTCCAGATTTACCAATGTTTTTCCAGTTCGTTTTGTAAGGCTTAGATGATTTTTTTTTCTTTACTATATTTTATATTTTATTTTATAATTTTTATGGATATTGATTTCCCCTATTCTAGGTAGATTTTTATAATTAAGAATTTATTTTTCTATAAATGCATTTCCTTATACCATTTAAGAGCAATTGAAATTCAATTAATTCTATCAAATATTGATTGTCAAGTATTTCGAATCTTCAGTTTAAACCGCCAATAACAGCTGTCTTCTACATTAACCGCGAGATGGCGCATGTGGTACGTCCATATAGTGGCGAAATCACCAGAACATGTGTCAGCAACTCAACGATCTTTCGAGCTTTTTATTGGTTGCAGAAATATGGTCGATAAATTTGTTGAATTGTATGCATCGAAAATATAATAATAAAATACTTGTATGTTTCTGAAACACAGACAACAGACTTAGTTCGTTAATTTCATTCTATGAGAATGTGAATGCTAATTTACTTCGTCAATTGATTTGTTCATAAAAAAGTTCTGTAAATACCCAAAAGGTGGTGTCTCAAGCAGTATACTAACTACAAAGCAGTGAAATTGATTTTTAAACAAGCAGTGCAATACTTGTATAAAGCTTAAACTGAAAATCCATTTCTGCACTAATTTTTATTTACCAAAAATTATAAATTAGATAAATGACCTTAAGTAAAACATTTTTGAATTGTAGTTAAATTAGGCAGTCTCCATCTGAGACACATGGTCATCTCAGTCGCATCTACTGCAGCTTCGACCGGTCATTGAACTCTGCCAGATGCTTGCCCAATTTTTTTTTGTGCTGCCAGCGAACTCGTTTGGACATTGTGCCTCTGGACCAGACAGCATTCAACGCACTCGCTTTCTATTTTTGTTTGCTGCTCACATCGCCTGCATTGTAGCGTGAAATGCAAAAAATCCCATTTTTTTTTAAATTTCTTTACATTTTATTATTGTTATATCTTTATCATAAAGACATAGCCAATTATTTTAACTCTACAATTTCGATCGATTCCTAAGGATAATTCGCGGGGAGAGAAGCCTAAAATAGTGTAACAATCATTAATCTAACAGCAATTATACATACAAACAGAAACGTATGTATATGTGAAAATAATATATAAATTATAGAGTGGTGTATAAAATTCAGCTAAATGCCAAGCAGGAAGAGAAATATTAATATCGATGTTGTTTGTTGGATTTATTTGAGGATACATTTCAGTCCCTGATCAGATGATTCTCCCATTGTGGGTGTTTGTGTCTGTTGTTTTGATTTCTTTCAGTGTTTTCTCCAATTACAGCATTCTATCGAGCCAGTCGGTCAAATGGCCCAAATCCTTGTCCTTTGCCGAGCATTCATAGAATTGCACATTTTGCGCAAGATGCGAGAATTCAAAATCACGTCCCGGCTTGCCCAGAACGATGGGCTTGCTTAGTTCATCATCACCCACAGATTGCAGCTTGCGGCTACGTGTGTCCCGTACCAGGTTTCTGGAAGAGAATAATGAAGAGGTTATATGAATTGTTAAGGGCATTCGAGTGCAAGATTACTTACAGCTCCTTCTCTAGCAGGCTCTTGATGACCTGCGCGCTCTTAGCTGTTGTCTGATCCTGCTTGTTGCACAACACCAGGACGGAGCAGGGCTGTGTGGCATTGTCTGTCAGTACAGTGTATAGGGAGCTGTAAGGAAACGAATTTCAAACTTCTCTTCCGTTGTTGCTTAATCCACTAACTTACTCGGCCACATCGCGAATTTCCTTCTGCACCGACACTGAGTCCACTACAAATATAAGGCCCTTGGCCTTTCTTTTGTACACATCGAAGCACTTGTCCCGCACACGATAATGTCCTGGAATGTCCACCAGCCTAGCGGAGAGTCGGCCCGAGACATAGTCCCCAACATTCTCCTTGATCGATGTAAATGTCTCGGGAAATTTGTCGTGCAGCAACTGCATAAATATGGAACTTTTGCCCGCCTCACAGAGACCGGTCAGTAAAAAGTCACGTCTGCCAGAGGAGCGCCGGCGCAAAATGACAAAGATCGCTAAATTAATGGATAGATGGAGGGAGGGGTGAGAGGGGATTTTGTTGTCATTGCATTCGTTTTAAATGTTGCTACGAAACACGTGGCCACTTACCGACAATTATGAAGCCCACGAGCAGCGCCAACAGAATGGGCGTTGTGTCAATCTCGCCCAACTTAATTTGCTTCCTTTCCGGTGGACTTTTGTTTAATTTATCCATTTTCCGAGTCGAGCTTTGTCGTTCGTGCGCCAAACAAAAAATAAACTCATCGAGAATGACACGCACACAGCGAGCTACTTTAATCGATACTTGGCATCACTTATGAAGTATCGAGCTTCTAACGTTTTGCAGCACTAAAGAGCGCCGATAAACACGGGCGCAATATTTAAATTTTTAAAACGTAATTGGCTTAGTTAAAATCGTATGTTTTATTTATTGTACAATCAAATGCGCAAAATGAAACTTAGCAAGCTAAAACGGAAAGTACATATAAATAGATGTATCAATCTATCGAAGGAAAAAAAATTGCCACCAGATGTTGATGTTGTATGCTTTGAGCCGCGCTTTAGCTCCACTCGCACTCATGCGCGATTCTTGATCAAGCCATAAAGCAATCGAAATGTGAAATTGCATGAAAATGACCAAACGGGCACCGAAACGGCATTAGAAATTCCGGTGGGAAAGCTGAGCAGACCGCCCAGCGGCTGCAAATTAATGGTCTCACTAAAGACCATTACTGGAGTCCCTCGATTGCTGATTGAGACTATTATAAGTACAATTGTCATTATAACTTTGGACGCGTAGTAAGCGATGGTGTCGATCCCGGACTGCTTGATCGACGCCATCGTGCGTGCAACTTTGATTTTCTCCTCCACATCCTTTACCTTTTGCTCGGCACGCATAATTTTAATCGTTCGCGCATATTCTCCACTGTGCTGGGCATTTCGCACATTTTCCACTTCTTCGCGTGCCGCATTCAATTCCAAATCAAATGATGCTTCCGTTGCGCCTGTGCCCCTGACCAGGAATCGAGACAGTTTGAGCTGCAAGTAAAGGTATGTACATTTATGGAAGAACGTCACGTTAGCCGGCACGTGTCCACTTACGTAGTTGCGTAGAAAATCCGGCAGTAGTGTGGTGAGCAGGCACAGCAGCAAAATGATTATAAACAATTCCATGCCGCACTTTGGTCTCACTTGTGATTAATTATGCTATTTTTGTAATATTCCGTTCAATTCTGTGTGAAAATAACAAAACAATATAAACAGTATTGGAGAACGTCAACAAAGAAACAGCTGGTTGTCAGTGCTGGGAAGTGCGGGTGTTGGCTCAGCTGTGCCGGCAAAACAAATGCGAACGGCGAAAGGAAAGGAAGTTTCGTGAATATTCTTATTCCACGCAATCAAATCATCACCAATGTTAAGGACGATAGTAACATACGAACGTTATGGAAGATAGTAACGAAGAGGTAAGTTTAGTGCATGTTCAAATGACAACAAATTCAAAGGATACTCAATATTTCTGCTGCTAGATCGAACCGTGCCGTGATATAGGGCCGCACGAGTTGGTGGAATCGGTTAAAAGTCAAGCGGTCATTAAGCTGTCGCAGGTGTATCTGCCAGCGCACTTTAAGCGGCTGGAGTTGCAGACCAATCTAAACCAACCGCCGCTCAATTGGCTGACAACCTCGGAAAGCAGTCATGGCTTACATCAAGCGCTTTACCAGAGCGCTGGGTTCGCCAGCTTCCGACTCGGTCAAATGTTTCCCGACTGCGTCGGACAGGTGGATGTGGTTTCCGATGCGGAGAATATAAAACAGCTATTGAAACTGCCGTACAGTGCGCAGAGTGCCATTAGTATGGTTGTCCACAAAGTGGGCAATACTTTGCTGCTGGATGAATTCGATATACAAAAGTATTTGCTGCGCAAGGCAGATGATGATTGGAAGTGGCTGCGTACCTTTATATTGGAGCATATACTGGCCTATGGTGATAAGCAGCACAACTATTGCCTGAAGGAGCGTTCGCGTGAAGCATTGCAGCGCAAGAATTTATTGTCGAAGTTTCTGTATCACAGCTTAAAACAAACGGATGGAGAAGAGTTAGCAAAAACACCCACACAGCTGACAAGCCATCGCACGGGATTGCCGCTTATTGGACCATTGTTGCCGGAACCGAAAATCGAGGAGAATGTGCCGGATCCCAAATCAAGTCATGCCTTCAATCGCAATGTTGTGTGGACTTTTGAAGATATACGAATGCTCATCGGCACCGATATGCCCATTTTTGGAGGTCCGAATCGACCGTGCATTAGTTTGCGGTTAAGAGATGCTGCTCAGCCTATAAATGTGCTTACTGGTATCGACTATTGGTTGGATAATTTGATGTGTAATGTGCCCGAGGTGATTATGTGCTATCATTTGGATGGCATTGTGCAAAAGTATGAAATAATCAAGACGGAAGATTTGCCTTATCTGGAGAATTCGCAATTTGCGCCGCAGGTAGTGCGCAATGTGGCCCAAAATATACTCGCCTTTCTCAAGGCCAATGCCACCAAAGCCGGTCACACCTATTGGCTGTTCAAGGGACGCAACGATGATGTTGTCAAGCTGTATGATTTGACCACGCTTTGCCAAACTCAAACAGCAGCAGCCGCAGCAGCTGCAAAGGAGGAGGCAGCAGAGCCAGCTGAACATAAAACGAACCCCTTTACAGTGCCTGTGGGAATGCTGCTCTATTCTGTGGCTCGCAACATGAAGAATACTGCCGAGCATATAAGTCCCAAGACAGCGGGTAATATACGTGCTTTATTGGATAACTGTATTAAGTTATTGCCGAAGGAAGAGTATCCACAAATTGTGAGCTCCTCGCATTACATACTCTCCGATTTACACGTGCCAGCCGGCATTGATCCCAAAGCCCCAAAATTTGATGAATTGGACTCGGACACGCAATCGCTTTACGATGATGATGAGGACGAAGTCGACGAGGAGGATGATGTAGATGTCACTAATGCTGAGTCACTGGAGTGTGACTATGGGGATAGCAAGTACTACCAAAGTGCTGCCCAGAGTGGTGGTAAAGCCAATGTGGCTGTGCGTCACATTTGCGATGCGTTGCGTGACTTTAAGTCGCACACCAAGCAATCGAAACCAGCACCTCTAATAGCTAGTACAGTCGATCGTTGTAATATCTCGCTCGCTCACATTAGCGCTGGCATCTCGTGCCTGCAATACTTTAATGGCAACCAGGAAGAGAAATTCATCAAGGAGTCCGAGACACATGCAAAGCAGGAGGAACGTCAGCGCATTCTACATGAGGAGCAGAATCCGAATATGGCCAAGCCCTTTAATGCCATACCACTGCCGTATGAGACGTTGAAGCCCACACAGAATGACGCTCAATTAAAGCTGGTGCAGAAACAGCAGAAGAAATCAAAGCAGAAGCGTCGTAAATCTGTAGAGCTCCAGCAAATAGCCAGCAGCCCAAAAGCGGCGGCTAACAATCAACAGCTCAGCGCAAAATTCAACAATCAGCAATTTGGCAGCTGGAATGTGCATCTGAAGCTGTTGTTGCTGGAGAAAGCATGTCTCACCTACGCTACCCTCGCCGAGCATCATTACGAGGCGAAGCGTTACGGTGTGACTTTGCGAGCTATCGAGTTAGCCTATCGCTGCCAGCAGGTGGTCAATAAATATATGACTAATCTGGTCTCACAGCAGAGTTGTTTGCTGGGACGTGCGGGCGACTGCTTCTTTCAAATGTCCAAACACTGGTCCGAAATCGATGAGTATCTGAAACAGTATGAGGAGCAGGACGAATCGGCACGTATCATAGATGCCGAACTAACCAGTGAGCTCACTGACCCTACAGAGGTGGCAACAGTGCTGGCACCCGTTAATAACATGGAACAGATAATGTTGCTGAGCTGCAAGTGCTACGAACAGGCTTTGGAGCACGCCCAGGATGCCGCCAGCAATGAATTGTTGCGGCGTTTGGGTAATGTGCGCAACGAATTAGCTCTCAAGTACATGTATTGGGCGCAAGGTAAGTGTTCATTACACTGCCCCTAATATAGTTGGATTCATGGGCTGACTTTTCAGAGGAGTACAGCAAAGTGGTGCGAGAACGAGAGGCAGGAACTGCAACAACTGCCAAGGCCGAGGAACCACTCTACGTAAAGCTGACTGTAAATTCATATGATTGTTTATGCCGCGGCATTAAGGCTTTCACAGCCGTGCAGGACAATGTTAATTTGGCGTTTTTATATTGCAATATGGGACGTTTTATGCGTCTGCGCGCGCATCTTACCATGCCAAATGAAAGGTATGTCCATGTCTGTTAACATCATTGAAGGAAAGTTTACTTTGAATAACGTCTAATTCCAGCGTCATTGCCACGGATACACAGAAATCATTTTACCAGGAGGCCTTTAATTATTACGAAAAAGCTAAGGACTGCCTGGACACGCGCAAGGCCAATCCGGAGCTCTGGGACTTAGTGCATTGGGAGCTATCCACTGCCATGTTTACGCTTGCAAAGCAACTGCAGGACTTTAGCGCAGCAGATAAGGTTCGAATAACTCCTCAAAACAATCATATGGACCATCCACTTAGTTTTCCTCTGATCTGTTACATTTCAGTCGAATTTTGCTGAAGCATCCAAAGAAGTGTTGGAGTTGCTGCAGAAATCTCTGCAATTATGCGATGTGGAGCATGCTGGCGCCCGTCAAATACTCTATACTTTTCGCTCAGGTCTCATACACAAGCGGTAATTGACTTTTCACAGTTATTAATGAAACCAAATAACGAGATGTATTATTTTGCAGTATTGCTTCCTTCCACTACAGTCAACTGCGTGCCAATTGCACAGATCCCTCCCATATCTCCAAACTAACGTTGCAGCTGTGCAAATTTCATTATGAAAAGGCCACTCAAATACTGACAAGTCTCAAGGAAGTAAGCGACTTGTTGGTGGTACAATTGGAACGCATTTCCCTACAGGAGTTTTTAACAGAACGTAAGACAATCTATATCCTCTTGTAGAGCTGGGCTTGGAATAGGCAATTGTAATTGAATAGTAATGAAATCAAGATACCAAGGTTTCTTTGAAGAGAATTATTGAAGAAGTTCTCACTGGATATATATATTTTTTCCACACTCACATATGGATATTTTAGGGATATTTAGGAGCATTTAATGGAAAAACTAGTACTATATATTTTACAAAAAGCTTTAATCACAGCAAAATTTATTTTTCGTTTAAGGACATTTCAGGAATATACATATATGAAAAAGTTACAACTTTCTAAACTATCTCAAGTGCAGTTCTGTTTTTGGCTTTCTCACAAGCGAAAATTTGAAGGATCCCTTCTATTTTATTTTAGAATTTTTAGCGCTTTTTCCAAAGAATATATGTACCATATATTTTTATTTTTTTATTTCGGTAATATAAATGCGAGTCATCCACACCAATGATTCTAAATGAATTTAACTATAATAAAGGAAAATATCCTCTCTATCATCTTCGAACCCACGGTCCTCCACATTATGAGCTCTAAATGGCTCACTTAGAAGATGTTACTTATTTGATCTTTAGTTCCTTTGGAGGACGTGTAGAAGTTTTTTGAATTCTTTGCTTACAACCCTTAGTGCAACTGTTAAGCTTTAACATCGAAAAGTGTTAAAAACTTTGAATTCCTTGCCCAACTGTAAGGATATTTGTACCACAGAAAAAGGACGCATTACTAATAACACTCCATATCTTCACATCTCCCTCAGTATCCACACATTGTGGCCAGAAGATAAAACACATGCAAGTGGCTTTGGATATTTGCTTACAATGCGAGCTCATCTTTAGCCACGTCATTGAGACTTCGTCGAGTGAGAATGAAACTAATGCCAACGCTAGTGGGAACACAATTGGGAGCGTGATCGATGAAGACGAGTTCGTAGCACATCTATCGCTGTACGAGAGTCGTTTGCAAAACGCTTTGAAAACGCTCATCAAACTGCTGCTAACCGGCAAGGATCCAAAGAAGCTGTCGGCATCGTACAAGCAAATGTATATGGAAACCTTGACTGGGAAACATGGCATAGGCGCCCAGCAAGCGACGCTGGTCGAGCGCGCGCACCATTTGCAAACGCTGTTGCTTAAATTAAAAGCCATGTGCGACGCCTCAACATGTGCCAGCAATGAGTCGCTATAGAGCTCGATATCGTACGTGTTTTATAAAAGTTTATTCACACAAACACACACACACACCCGTACACAATTCAATTGCATTACTTGGCAGTGTTTATTAATGTTAATGTTAGTTATAAGCTTATATATGTTACGATTTGAAGTTAACCCTGTCGCCTGCTACAAGGACAGCCGGCCTGTAGTTGCTCCAGGACATCGTTCAGCTGCACGACGGCTAAGGCGAACAGCAGCGAGATTTGTAATAGCTATAGAAAACAGAAAATATTTGTATTTATGTAGAAGACTAAGCACAGAGGGAGTAACGATATTTGAAGAATTGTAAACCTTATTATTGCTATAAATAATCTCACCTTGCAGCGTAATTGCATTTTGTTCAACCTTTGCTTGCGACAACTTTTGCTTTCCCAGCGCTCGCGCGGCTCTTATAAAGTCGCGTGCTCGCCCAGCGCACGTGCCGCAGATCATGATTAGTAGCGACTGCTTTGCAATCTTCAGAAGAATTGTTAAAGAAAGCTGGCAAAGATGGAGAACTATTCGCTCTTTAATGGCTAAGTTGCTGGCCACGCTAATATGCCGAGCTCGGAGCGCGTAGCGCTTACAACTTAGAAAATAAATTTCAAAATATATAATTATAATAATAATAATATAAAATGCTTATTGTGCATGTCTCTTTAATTAGAAGGGGGTTATTTCTCGTTTATAATTTCGTATTGTAATTTATTATCTTATTTTTTTGTTTTTGTATATAAATTCTACCAACGCAGCAGAAAGTTCAAGTCAATGCCTCGGCATGCGATGTGGTGTGCGGAAAAAATGGTGTCAAGCTCGTTATTGGGTATGGTCGCCAATACTGCACAGTGGGACAGCCTTTTGCGAAATGCATGTGAAAAAAGTGCTTCATCGAAGCTTTTTCCAAAGCACAAACGTCATCTCCGCACGCTCGAGGGAATGAATGACTCGTCTCGTCTCGACTTGACTCGGCTGCGGCTTCTGCGGGTGCTTTGTGGCGTTACGTAATGACGCAACTCTTAGACAGTGTCGTAAGCGCAGACGACAGAGCGCCTGCTATCTGGACCCCCAAACCGAAAGCATTACTAGCAGCCACACACACACACACACACCACCAGAGCAGCGGCGAACAAGTTTGGAAGCGTGCACGTCTTTGACGTCTTGAGATTGTTCCAAAACAAAGAACGCAGACGGTGCTCTTCGACTTCTTCGTCTTTTCGTCGTCGTCGTCGTCGTCTTCGCTCCCTCCCCCCTTCAACATATGCATATTTTTTTTGGTCACGTAAATGCTGGGAATAGTGCCTGGATTTTTTACTATATAAACTAAACTTAATGCCCAAGTCAGACATTAGTTAACAATTGACCTCAAGACTAAACTAAGCCACAAAATGATGAAATTCATGGTGAGTTCAATTGATGACCAGCCAGCGCCTGGGAACTGAAAACTAAACGAGATTTCTTCTCCTCCTTACCATTTACAGTGCATTTTCGTTTGCGCTTTTGCCGCCGTCTCTGCTTCCGCTTACGGACCTTCCCGCTACGGACGCCCCAGCTATGGCGCACCCATTGGTGCTAAGGTCATCCAAGTCCAGCCCGCGCTCACCGTGAGCGCTGTGGTTCCAGCTGGCGGTTATGGTGGCGGTTATGGCGGTGGTTATGGCAAGTCCGTGCTTGTGCCCGTGTCGGCCGTCTACACCGGCTCCCGTTATGGCTCTTATGGCAAGGCTCCGCCAGTAGATGGTCAAGCTATTGGTCTGGCCAAGCTCGGTCTGTACGCTCCCAGTGCTGGTTCTCCTCTCGTCTGGAAGGAGGCCCCTCTCCGTCGCGTGTTGGCCCCCAGCTATCTGGGCAACATCAACTACAATGAGGAGGCTCAGGGTGCTTCGGCTGCCGCTGCCTCCAGCTCGGTTGCAGGCCAGCAGGGCTACGGACCTAAGAAGTCCGTCTATTAAGTGTACGAACAGTGATATAAGAAGCTAGAAGAACTGCCTCGGCACTGCTAAGCAGCGCACGAAGTACGCTTAAGGCATTAGGAAATAAACAAAAACAAATGCTCAGATAAACTAAAACTAAACTTTGCGTTCTATTTTTAACATTAAGGGGTAATAGCTGATGAATGGGTTCGTAAGTCTTTTAATCGCTGCTGGCTTTGTATTCTACAAAGTTCTAGAAAGCTAAAGCGGTCTCTTATGCACAATTCTACAGCAGCGTAAGCAATGCTGAGACGCTTCAGTTCTTGCAAGCAGGTCTTACTCAATTATATAAAACTTGATACTTAAAAGTTATGGTAGGTCTATCCAAAGGTGCTCTTAAAATATGAGTACGATGAAATTAAATGAGGTATGAAGATGTTTCTTAACACTATTTTCTATATACGGAACTTAGAACCTTTTGAAAATCAGGCACGGGCGTGCAATTCGAGCAGCGATCCTCAATAAATCATTTTACTAAAAAAAACTCAAATTCAATATTCTACCAGCTTTTCCGCTTATGAATGAAGAGCTTGTAAATTGTAGTCTTTTAAGAAGACACATTAACAGGTAAATGCTTCAAATTTCAGTTCTAGCAGAGCTAGAAGCTATGGGTTCAAGGAATACTTATATTCTAAGGAAATTGAAAGACCCACGCATATAGACAACCCAATTAAGGTAGTTCGCTAGAATATACCTAATATCTTGAAATACTTCTCCTACAACTCTAAAGATTTACTTTCAAAGTCAAGCAACATCGTTCAAGTTTCAGCTACGACTAATTTTCAAAAATCGCTGAAAAGATTGTCGCAGGGATCTTGAACGAATTTCAAATTGTTCGCATAATGGCCATAACCGGTTCAATCCAATTAAATTGTGTTACTGCTTCCATGACCTGTTGACGACTGTTGGGGTGGCACCCATGTCGAATGTGGAACTCGCAAGAATGTTCGTTTCTAAAAAGCAAAAATTGGATGGGCTTTGAAAGTAGCGCGCGCGCGTTCGTGAGACAACTTGCTAGGGGGGCGCGCGTCCAGCGTTTAAGCATGTTTCATATATATATTTATTTATGGGGACTGCCAGAATTATCGGTCAAACAACAACAAATGAACAGCGCGTAACTGGAAGCGAACGATTTTGTAATGCAACGGCGACTCCGACGACTCCACATGCCATACACAATAAGTAAATAAAGTAGCAAAAAAAGTAACTAATCATATAACAACATAATATGTACTCGTATGTACAAGTATGTACTGCCCTGTAATTATGAAACAGTGTTTTGCATAAAACTGTACAGTTAAGTATATAGTGGATTGAAAACAATAGTTCTAAGTATATAGCTTGAGTGTGTGGGTCAAAATTTAAACGTATAAAAGCGGACGCGAGTGCCAAGTAAATCATAGTTTGATTGATTACCACAACCAACAAAACTAATTCAACATGAAGTACCTGGTAAGCAGTCGAAACGACAGACAGACAGACATACAGACACACACAGAAAGGAAGTTCAATTGACGGGATCACTAATCCTCTGTCTCTTTAAATTACAGTTCGTTTGCGTTTCCTTCGCCCTCTTCGCCTACATCAACGCCAGCTCGCTGTATGGTGGCAACCATGGTGGTTATGGTCTTGGACGTGGAGGTGATAGCGGACCCGTTGTGGCTTACCAGGCAATTCCCGTCCACTCCTATGGCCGCCAATCGTACGGTCAGCCCCTCCGCTCCTATGCTAGCGAGCCCCGCGCTGCTGCCGCCGCTGCTGCTGCCTCCTCTGCCGTCCTCTCCGGAAACTACAGGCAGGTTGCCATTCCAGCTTATGAGCTCGATGCTGGTTACCATGGCGGTCATGGAGGTTATGGTGGCCACCGCGGTATCGGCATTGGCAGCCGTGGCGGATATTAATTTCGCACAATGAACACGCGCCCAGTTTGTTCAATGAGCAACAACCAGCTACACTGTGAAAAATAAAGGAAACTGCTGAACGCAACGCAATGTTGAACAAAAAATTTCTATAATTGACTATTTATTGGGTGTGGGTTTGTGGGCCAAGTTATTGAAAATACTTGACATACTGCAAGTATTTAGTGGCTCGAACTCGAAAAGTGATTTTTGGATTTTCAGGAATGTGAATATTATATTTAAAGGTGCTTTGGGATTCCAAATTCTCCATAAACTTGCTCCATCTAAGTTAAAGCAATGATGCCCATACACGAAATAAGAATTGTCTCGGTGCGGGCTGGCTGCTTGAAAGTAACATTTTTTTCAAAAAAATCAGCAGATTATTAACAACAAATTACTCATTTTTGAAATATCTGCTTTACATATTACTCAATTTTGTTATTGTGTAAAATTTTCCTAAAAAACACCTTATTATAACAAAACCTTTGGAAAGTGCTATGCATTACAAAACAAATTATAAATTTGTATTTTAAATTAGAATTTCATAATTCATACATTTGCATGTTTTAATTCCCGAACAACTATGTACATACAAGTATGTATATTCTTGTATATTAAAATCACAAATGGTTTTTATAAAAATTCGACTATTGAAATGTTTCAATGGGCTAGCGATCTCTGTAATTAAAAATCCGAAATTGTTCTAAAATTTTACGATCCTTTCAAGTTAAAATAATTTCCATTTTATTTATTTCCACTGTCTTATAAATTGTTACTATTGAAATGTTTTAATTGGCAAGCGATCTCTGTAATTCAAAATCCTTTCTTGTTAGAGTTATTTCCATTAGCTTTATTCCCAGTGTCTTATACAAGTAGATCGTTAGCAATAATCTGATACCATGTGTATGTGATTCGGATAGTTTTTCTTTTGTTCCACCTATTGTGTGTCTGTTTGGTGGGGTTTTTGATTCGATTTGTTTCGTTGGCTTCGTCAGATCTAGGTAGTTGAGTGGGCTGAACAGGCGATAATATATTGAAGCATACTTTTAAGCGCCGCACTTAATACTGCAATAATAAACTGTTGTGCCATTTATTATGCATACATATATGCAGAAATATGTACATACATACAAGTATATGGGTACATAGACGGTAGAAATTGCGCAAGCAAGCACGCGTTATATTTATTGAAATCGTGCACCACCCTAACCACCCTCTGGGGTTCAGAGCAGGCGATATGACTGTAGAAGAGCGACGTTGTCGTTGACCGACCGGGCATATACTTGTACAAGTAGAATAGCAGCAACAACGCAGCAGCTCGCACAAGAACAGATATCGGCGACGGGCAAGCCAATGACAGATTTGTCAGAATCATGGTTGGAGCTATTGTTATTGTTGTTGTTGGTGCTTCAGCTTCTGCTGCTGCTACTGCTGCTGCTGCTGCTGCCTCCGCTGCATGGGCCGTGCAACAACAACTCAGAGTTGAGCCGCAACAGTACTGAGCTGCTCGCGCCGTGATAAATTCTCGGCGAGATCACGTTTCGAGCGCTTCAATTATTTTGCTTATATAAAGAAGTGTGCTTGGCATTTGGTTTGTTAATTGTGCCAACTGTGTCAAGCAGCGAGCGCCCCCCAAAAAACAGAAACAGAACATAGCCATGAACAAATTCGCTGTAAGTACCAAGACGATGATCACGACGCACCACCAGAAGCAGAAGTTGTCGCCGACACCGACACCGACGTCGACGTCGACGTCGAAGCTGATGATGCTTTTGCGGCTGAGGTTGACGCTTATGCTGTTGCTGTTGCTGACAGCACTTCCGTTTCCCTCTTTTGGCTAATGACTAACTACAACAACCATATCTATTCTTTCAACCAAATAGACTATCGCAATTCTGGTCTGCGCCTACCTGGCGGTCGGCAGCTGCAGCGGCTACGGCGGCGGCTACGGCGGACGCAGCTCTCACGGCAGCATCATCTACGGAAATGGCAAGAACAGCCAAGCCGCTTCAGCTGCTTCCTCGGCGGCTTCTAATGGCAACCAGCATCAGCGTCCCGTAGAGATCCTTGCTGGTCCACGTGCCGGATACGGACAAGGACATGGCTCTAACTATGGCGGTGGCTACACCGGTGAGCTCCTGCGTCCCATCAATCTGGGAGGCGGTTATGGCAGCAGCCATGGAGGTAACCGCGGCTATGGCGGTCCCCAGATCGCTGTTGGCCCAATTCCCGTTATTGCTGGCTCTCGCGGCGGCTATGGTGTCTCTCACGGCGGCTACGGCCGTCCTCAGATCGCCCATGGTGGTCATAAGGGAGGTTATGGTGGTGCCCGTGCTGGCTATGGACCCCGTTGGTCTGTCCAGCCTGCCGGTGCCACGCTCTTGAACCCCGGTCAGAACAACTACAAGGCCTATGTGTCGCCACCTGAGTACAGCAAGGTGGTGCTCCCAGTGGTGCCCGCTGCCCCAGTTGCCAAGATCTGGCTGCCCGAGAACAACTATGGCTCCAACTATGGTTCCTCCAAATACTAGAGAACCACTCCCACTCTAGTAATTGTGTAAATATTGTAGTGCCCATACCACTCTAATCCCACACACCCACATAACACACACAAGGAGAGCGATTAGAGCGGCAATAAAATGTGAAAAGATGAAACCAAAATTCAAACAGTCTTTTTCTTAAAAAACAACTATGAATGATTTTTATTTTTCGCATTTGTGCAGGTGCGTTGGCCAGCTGGTCAAAGGTGCATTGATAACGCATAATGCTTCTAGCCGGCCAAATAGGTCTTCGGTTGAGCGCGTGTGCTGGCTCGGCTGCGTTGTTCTTCTGTGTGGGCAGCTGTTCGATAGTCGAGCAGAAAGAACTCTTGCTTTTATCAACGAAAAACTCGGCATGTTTGCCAATAAATGTACCTCCGTAGGTATAGCTTTAGAAAGAGCCAAAATTTGTATCCAGATAAGCTAGTTACTTCAAATTGTAGCCACTGTAGCTTATGCAGTTACAATTTTATCTAAAAATAGGTATTTTCACAGCAAATGCTAGTGGAAAGTGGTTTCTCCAGCAATCTAAATACAAGTAGTTCTAGGAACAATGCATAATGGTAAAGAAGATGTTCGAAAGAGTTCTGCTCCTTTGGGGCAGTGGTATTTTTTACGAGTATAGCAAATGATCGTGAAATTTGAATTCCCCAGGAATTTCAATAGTGTTCTAAATCATCTATTAGCGCAAAGTCGGAATTATATTTCTACAAACGTAATTCTCAGATCGCTAATAATAATTACTACTAATGAGTAGGGTTCTATGCACTCTGAAGTGATTTGAGATGATTCGACTCGGAAAATGATTGGACTTTGCTTGGCCTTCAGTCACAGATGAAAGCAGCACTTTGCATTTCATTTGTAATAGACTTGGTTATACAAGTAAGTCTAAAATATATATCTTTGTTTAAACATTCATTAACATCATTATTTAAATTTGGAAATGGTATCAAGCTTAATAGCTCGTTTAGTTATTATTTATACAAAAATGATTCAGTATTGTTTGAAATATGATTATTCAGAGATGTTCGTTATCAAAAAATCTTCTAACTAGATTTGAAGCAAAATATTTCATGTTTAAATATATAAGAATTATGGTCATTGCCACAAAGGTATGAGGCAGATAATTTGCCTGTGGAATGTTCATACATAAATTATATTTGTAGTTTTCCAAAATGTTTAGGTACTTTTCTAATTAAAGAGGTAAATAATTTGCAAACAAATTTGAAAGCAAATCTTAAGAGGGGCTTTGAATTAAATAACATTCTCTTTGTATATAATTATTCCATTTGAAATATAAAACTCAAGTATGCGTACAGATTTTCCAATAAAGGAAAATAATAACAATGATAATAACAATTATCAGACAAAATTGAAATGAAAAGCATTACTATTCTATAGAATTTTTACTCAAAAATGATAAAAATTGGTTTGCTTGTAAAGCAACTAGAATTGAAGAACGATTTGTTGATTTCTGCAATATTTTTGTTGAAAAAGAATTAAACTAAACCAAATTGGTTTCCGTGAGGCATATGTGACATTATTCGATGAATTTCTTCATAGCCAAGTCTAGAAACCAGCTCTGGCTCTTAAGCTTTTAGCTCGACTGCAGCTTTAAGCTGTAAGCAAGAGCTCAGACTTATTTAAACTGGTGCGCATATTTTTCTAGTGCTAGCACGTAAATTTTGGGGGGCTAGATGCACAAAAGAATATGTGGACTAGTCCAAAAGCTAGGCGTGGCTCAGATAGCGCCCATTGTTGGTCTATCGTTGTCACATTAGAATTGCACTCTCTGCGGGAGGAAAGAGCGACGTCGAGACACGATATCTGTAAACGGCCTTCAGTGCGAGTGCACGGCAGTATGTTGTTGATGCTCGGAAAATTGTTGGTCAATGAATGTATCGCAGAAGCAACAACAACAACAACAACAACAGCAGCAGCGACAGCGGCAACAAATCCCACGATGCTGCGACTCTGCAGGCAAGGCAGCGTCAGCGTTTGGACCAAGTCAAGAGACCTGATACTGCGAGGCAGCTACGAGCGAGCGTGTGCAATGTGCTTTGGGCCTGCTATCAACAGCAGCAGCAGCAGCAGAAGCAGCAGCAGTGGCTGCTGTTTTGCTGGCTTGTTGGCTTCTTGGTCGACAGTTGGGGTGGTCGTGGTTGTCGACGTTCAGTTCACACAATTTGGCGAGCATTTTCATTAGCATAGAAAGCCATGCCATGTCAAATGTGTATATACAAGTAGTATGTAGTATGTAGAGTTGTTGCTCTTCTTATCAACGTCGCATGAGCAATTGTCGGGGCCTCGCAGGGAGGGGGCAGGGGGGCTAACTGACACCATTACCACCAATGATGGCAGCAGCAGCAGCAGCAGCAGCAGCAGCAGCAACGGCAGCAGCCGGCGAGCCCAAAAGCGAGGCGTCATGCGCTTGACGAGCCACTCAGTTCTTCTGACTGGGTTTTTGTCACGTAAAGCGCACTCACAAATCGCTAGTTACCACAAAATTAATGGCTATAAAAGCAATTTGGACACACGCTGTTGGTAATTAGTTTTCAAAACAGTCGCCTCCTCGCATCATCGAAAACAAAAAATGTCGTCCAACTACATGCGTCTCATCTGCCTGGTGGCCTGTGTGGCTGTCTGCGCTGCCAGCGGCTATGGTGGTCGCGGTGGCTATTCGGATATTGTCAAGCCCCAAGATACTGCCGAGGCTCAGGCTGCTGCTCTCACCAATGCCGCTGGTGCTGCGGCTGCTGCTGCCAAATTGGATGGTGCTGATTGGTATGCGCTGAACCGTTATGGCTGGGAGCAGGGCAGGCCTCTGTTGGCCCGTCCTTACGGCCCACTGGACCCCCTCTATGCCGCTGCCCTGCCCCCACGTTCCTTTGTCGCCGAGATCGATCCAGGTGGGTAGTGCCAGCCACAATCAATCTGTTCCCAGACACCTTATAACTAAATCATCTCTTCTCTCCTCTATTACTTGTAGTATTCAAGAAGAACAAGTACGGCGCCTATGGCCAGAACATCGTCACTCTGAATACTGAGTCCAAGCTCAGCGCGACTGCTATTTAAATGTGCTGTGTTTAGATAAAAACCAAAAAAGAAAACAGAGTCTTAATGTGTTCAACTAAATAAAGAGTGATAGTTTAATTTGAAAAACCAAATTTTCTCGCTTGTATTTTCTCTTACGGGTGGGTGGGTTACTCACAATTCCAAATGCAACCTGCAGTTAGAAAAGGTTTTCGTGGTTGGCTGTGCACGAAGGTCTGCCAGATGTAAGCTGTAATCATTTGGAAATACTACGGAATTCACAGAGACCTCTGTACATCCAACTAAGATGAACTTTCGAGTTTCATTGCTAATTCTAAATGCACGTGAACTGGAAGACTTTGACTGAGGAGCTAGAAATAAATAAATGATTTCATTTACAGACAGCATTATATCATTAATCATTCATTCCAAACATTGATGCATTTGTTGAAAGCGAGTTTAGGTCTTGAAATAAAATGGCAAGCAAGAAGAATTATTCTAAAGTGGCTTTTAACTGTTTTAACTTTTTAATGTTATGTTAGTTCATTGGCTTAGACATTCAAGAGCTATTTTTATATTCTACTTTGTCTACAAGCTTCACCATCATCTGAGTATCAGTAATTCGACAGTATTTTCAAATTTATCCAGTTCGGATGAACAAATCATTCCAAATCGATTTCGATTCCTATATGAATAATACAGAAATACTGGGAGAAGTACATGAAACTTTTGCTGTCAAGTAAAGGCCTTTTCACTGTACAAAGCTTAGAAAGATGCATTTGTCGACGAGGTACTTAGGCCTTTTCAGAAAGTTAGAAACTTGGGGCAAAAGTTTCGTTCACTGTAACAGTTTTGGATCTTAAAGATATTTCAATATATAAGTCACATTCTAAAATATTTCTTCTGGGAATAGAACGCAGAAACCTTAATTTTTCATTTCCAAAAAACTACTTCATAAAGCCACTGCGAAGTCGTTATTTAAGAACGCACACCCGACATACTTGTATTTTCATGGGTCAGTTAAGGTAAGCAATAATATAGAAGTATCACCGAGAAATACATGACATTACACATCTGAGCTAAAAAGCATTATCTCTCACAACGTTGGAAGCAAAATATTGCATATACGATGTTTTTTGTACAATTGTGATCTTTAGTCGTCTTCCATTCCATTTAACACCCCCGATTTAATGCTTACTATATCGTATGCTGGTTATATGGCGCTTTGTTTTTGCTCTCCCTTTGAAATCAGTAGAGTCCGCTTTAATGTTATTATTATGAATAATTTCATTTTATTGCAAAATACAAAGTAAAAAATATGAAATTGCTCAGTTAAGTAGTTTGTTTTGATAGTTTAATTCAAAATTCGTTACGAGCACACAGATATTTACCTACTAAACATAAAATGAACTAAAAACAAGTAGAAGCAATAACTTGGTGACGTGGTAACTCGTTTGCTTGCTGGTTGGTTGGTTGATTGATTGGTTTTTAGGTTGGTTTTAGGGTGGTTCTCTATAAAGATATTGGCAAGCGATTCTCCAGCTACTAACTACTACGCTTTCTCTCTCTATCTCTCTAACTAACTGCTTCTTCTTCTATCTGAATACAATTCGCTCTTTTGAATATGTTTTTGTTTTCGTTTTAATTTTATTGTTTTGGTTTTTCTTTAAGGTTCATTATTTTAATTAAATTACATGAACTTCAAAATATATATTATTATATAGATAGTGTGTAGTGTTATATATTTATTATGTATATATTGATAAACCTATACGATCTGACGCGTGCCAAGCCACTGGGCTCTCATTATTGTTGCTGTTATTGATTGATTGGTATTTCTGCCTTGCAACGCGTTGCACAAAAAAATTTAAATTATAAAAAATTCTCACGCAAAATTTTCTTGCTGCTCAAATTTTTGCATTTCTGCATTTCTGCTGTTTGTTCTTGTTGTTCTTGATGTTGTTGTTGGCTTTTTGTTAAATTTAAAAATGATATTGATTTGTTATCTTTAATAGTTTATTCGGTGATCGTTCTTGTTGTCTCCTGAATGTACACCTGGGATCCGGGCACGGTCGAGGTGGTAACGAATGTGCGGTGCTTGGCGCGGATCAGATTCAAATTGGATTCAGCACAGTCGGCGCGATCTTCGGCAGCTTCGAGTTCGCGCTGGAAGCGGCGCACACGTGTTACGGTCTGCTGGGAGACACCCTCCTGCTCGGACAGTTGACGTCTGTAGGCATTGATCTTGGCAGTGGACTTGTCGAGGGCATCCTGCAACAAGATGATGTTCTTCTGGTCCTCCTCGCATTGGACAATCACCTCCTTGACGGTGCGCTCCTTCTTGCGCAAGATCTTGATGGTCTCGGCATGGCGACGCTTCTCCTCCTCAAGTTCCAGTTCCAAATCGCGAATGCGGGCCTCCAGCTTGCTGATGATGCGCTTGCTGCCGGCAACGGCGTTCAGTTCGACTTCCTCAAGACGAATGGACAAGTTCTGGAGAAATATAATTATAAATATTTAACCAAGATATAATAAGTTATCACTACAAAATTTTAACTTTGACTGACAATTGAAACTCACAACACTCTAGCTTTTTTAAACATAATAGAAACCCACCTTGACTTCGACTTCCAAAGACTTCTTGATGGTCTCCAGCTTGACAATGCGCTCCTGCTCCTCATGCACCTGCTCCACAACATGCTTCAGCTCAACCTGAGTGGGAAATTGAATGGGAATTTTATGCCAAGAAATCGTAAGCGGCTTGTAGTTCTCGACTTACCGACACCTTCTGGTAACGCTCATCGCTGATGCGCAACTCCTTGGACACTTCCTCGTAGTCGGAGGCAACAACGCTCAATTCCTGTTCCAACTTCGACTTCAGCGAGACCAGCGAGACATTGGCAGTGCTCAGGTCATTGATGCGAGTCTGGGCCTCCTCATACTGGAGCTCCACAGTGCGCTTGGCACGATTGGCGCTCTCCAGATGCGAACGCACCTCCTCGAGCTCACCATTCAAGCCGGCCAGACGACGCTGGGCAACCGCGTACTGATCCAAAGTGGCCTGCAACTGGCGTTGGACATCCTCGTAGTGGGCCTGCAATTCGGTCAACTGCAGAGACTGCTTCTTGATGATCTTCTGCAGATCGATGTTGGTCTTGTTGGCCACATCCAGCGACATCTCCAGCTCGGTGATCTGGATCTGCAGCTTCTTCTTGATGCGAGTAACCTCGGTCTTCAGACGGGTCTCGGCCTCAATGACGCGTGCATTCAGCTGCTCGATTTCGATCGAAGTCTGCTTGCTATTAGGGGGTTCATATAATATATTTCATGACAAGACTCATTCACAGGTTGTTTCTTATAATTGCGCTGGAAATTAATCAAATGCCATTTACCTCAACTATAGTAGTATAGTACTATACATTGGATTTACGCTTTGCAAAGTGTTTTTCGCCCATGGCGCTGACTTTGTTCGCTATTTTCGGTAGCCAGCCCATTGTCTGACCCACAAAAATTTACGACAATTCAGCACTCACACCTGAGTTGCGGCGACAACGACGATTTTTAAGCGATACAGGTTTTTTTTCGCCATTGTCAAAACCATCGCACAATGTACATTTTTGCAATTTGTTTGTTTGATGGCTGCATTTTATTAATACGCTTGATAAAGACATCGAACTTGTCACAAATAGCTAACACCACATGCCGCACATTTCTCTGAATTGTTGTTCTTCTGCATCATGCGTCTAATTTTAGTTGTAGGTGAATTGTTCTCTTGAAATCGAGCGTTAGCTGCCAACAACATTTTTGACTTCTTACAATCCTACAAAGCACATTCGCTGATTCATTTGACAAGCTGAGCACTGCGGCAATTTGCAGGTGGCGTAATGTTCGTCCAACTATATACTATAGTATGCAAGACAGCTGAAGTCAATGATCAATTCCCTAATAATAAGGCGGAGCATTTTAAGAACCATTCAGGGAAGAATTATCACACATTTAACTAAGAAGTCAGACAATAATTGATCGAAACTCAATTGATCGTTACTCATTTAAAAAAATGTGGGTTCAGAGACTGCATAGCTTATATAGTTTATAAATGTTGGATGTAAAGCATGTTTAAGCACATACAATACTTAAAGTGCAACTAACCGGAGTCTATATCGGACTTGTATCAGTATACATGGATGATAGATTTCCTTGCACGTCACTCCAAGTCTATCTATTTATTTATAATCATTTAGTGGCCTAAATCATCGAAAGACTTTGCAACGCAAAAGCACAACAAAATTATATATCATGTGAATCGTAGTATTAAATATGAATAGTTCTATATGTATCTTTAAAAATGCGGCAAGACAAATTCCAAGTTCTTAGCAATCAATAATTGTAAGTTCTTTTTTCGAATATGGACTTTCATCTGTCTCAAAACAAAATCTGTGTAAAAATTAGTTTTATTTAACGAAATAATATATCTGTTATCTGTGGATTTGTTAAAAAACTATCAAAAACCATGTCCTCTAAAAAAAAGAATATGAATATAAGATTTAAAAATTTGACAAGAAAGACATCAATACTTTGCTATCTTTAAATGAATTATTCCTTATTTTTGTGGAATTGATATCAGTTGTAATTCATGATCATAACTTTCTCGCCATATACAAGTATATGCTCTTAATAACTTTGCTTGAAATTATTGTATACTATTAAATAGAATTTAGCACATACTTGTATTATATCTTCATTTTGATGTCTGATTTTTGCCTTTTCTTTTTCTTTTTCTTTCAGTTTTAGTTCTTTTGGCCGTCTTGGTTACTTAATCTATGCGCTCATTGTTGTCGCCGTGCCAAGGTATTTAGTTGTTGCTGCGTTCTGTTTGCGAACGTAAGTATTTTTCATTTAATTTTAATGTTTTTCACAAGTTCTTGCACGCTGTGTGTTTTTACATTTTCAATGTTTATCGTTTGGTATTGTCTACGCAAGAAATATGCGCTCAGATTTTGGCTTCTTGCTGTCATGCGCATCAGTTTTATTTTATTTTCTTTTTTTTTCTTGCGATATTTAAATAAAATAAATTTCATTTTTTGAAGGACACATCAAACAATGCCAATGGGTGCCAATGTGTGGGTGAGAAATTTGATCGGTAGTTGTTGGCCTGTGCCATAAAGATTATTGTCACTTTGCTTGAGAACTTAAAAGCAGCAAAGCATTGTACGAGTATGTTCTATGCAAAGATAATGACCATTCTAAGAACATAATTAATGACTTAAGACAGCAGACGATTGTACGAGTAGTCAGAAAAAGCGATCATTTCTAGTCTATGTCTCTGACTGTTTTGGAAGATTAAAGTTGTGTAGAATTAAGGTGTAAATAACAAGTTGAAGATTGAAGAAATTGTTGTAATGTAAATTTTCTGTGTTGTTGAGAAGTTGGAGCTTAATGCCAAAACTACGCTTATTCAAGTGTTGTCATTCTTTATTCAAGATTCTTCGGTATTAGTCCAAGATGTGTTAAGGTTCAAGAATTCAGACTTTCGTATATATGCTGGGTTCTGCAGAAATTTGAGGTTAATTCCAAAGACTACGCTTATTCAAAATATATGAGGATTTTCAAGACAATTTTAGTCATGTATTAGAGTTTGACAAATTTAAAGATAATGCTTTCAGAAAGAGGTCTAAAAGAAAGAGGTCTAAAAGCCTTCAACGCTTCAAAGTTAAACAGTTAACAGAGATAAAGTTAATGAGGGCTTTGGGATTTGAGAGGCTTAAAAAACTTCTACATATTACTTTAAATACATATTGAGCTCTCATTTTTAATTGCCTTTTTTATTGAGAAATGAAAGAGTCTAAATGATCATCTAAAAAATTATGAGAGCTACGAAGATTGTATCAATCTGGATTGCTACTGGTTTAACATTCATTAATCAAAGTGTATTTTTAGTTTTCGTAATAGTTTAGAAATGTATCGATATCCTATTTAAAATAGTAGATTTTATTGAGATTGGAATAAGTTTAACAGACCATTTTGAAAAAAGAATCTCCCAGAACAGCGATTTAGAACTACAAGTATTGACAGGTCAATACCGAACACAAATCATTAATTTTATGACAAGTGAAAATTCTAAGGATAGGGAAATGTGCTTCATTCTTTTCATTAGTATTTCATTCTTTAGAGCAAGTATAATAATAACAGTTCCACCATCTCTTTTCATGGCAACATCAGCTACAAAGTAGCTTTAGTTCATGAGATTTTCAGCTGTCTACCCAACATATTCATGTAATTAAGCTAGACAGAAACGCGCAGATTAATGCTGAATGTTTCATAGACGCGTAAACATAACGACACTGAGAGAAATACTGCCCGATGTAGTATCAAAGAACATAGGGCGAGATGGTCGCAAACCAAATGTGCACAACAAATTAAACAGCAGCATTACAAAAAGGCTAGACAAATGGCTGAGAAAACAAAAATAAATTGCAATTTGCGCCAAACACATACGAGTACAGAAAGAGATACGGACAGACATAGTTGTATATGTATACGTGTAGTATAATGCGTGGGCAAAATTGAGCTACAATTCAAAATGTTCGCAATTTATTCAAATCGTGGCTAAAAGGTCTAGATAATATTTATTGTTGCTGTTGGTTGTTTGTGAATTGAATTGCAGACGACAAACAAGAGAAATGGGGAACCAATGTCGATGAATTTATGACAATTCGTTGGGGAATTTGTGAAGGCAAGCGACACACACTTTTGCAGACACACACACACAGACACACACACACAGACAACTATATATGGCTCAATGCTTCCAATAGATATAACTATAGTCCTTGAGCTTGGGATGTGTGCGCAAAACTTTGCGACAAACCCAGCACTTATCCTCTATACCGCACCTGGAATCCGCATAGAACTCAACGGTGCGTTGGTTGAGGGTCGAGAGCTGACGCTTGACGTTGTGGAGCGATGAGGAGACACGATGATCGAGCTTGTCGACCAGACGGTCATCCATCAGTTCGATGTGCAAGGCGTGGGCTCGCAATTGTCCGCCCTCGGGTGAGGTGGAGCGCAAGCGCGAGGTGGCACGGCTCGAACGTATCATGGTCTGGGCAATGTAGTCCTCCTCCTCCTTCTTGGCACTCTTGATGTTCCGCTCCGATTCGGAGAGCAGAGCTTGGGCGATGGCACTCGCGGACTTGCCGCGAATCGAACGCTTAAAATCGTCGGACATCTTGTCAAATTCGTTATCTAGCTCGATTTTACGTATGCGTTGGAGTATTTTGAGCGTATCTTGCTTAATCAGATCCTCGAGCTCCTCCTGACGTCTACGACGGCGTTGACGCGATCTCTCGACAACTGTGTCCGGTTCAATGTGCTTGGCCACACGCGTTGCGTCGACAAGCTTCTGAACACTGAACGGCGTGCGTTTCTGTGCCCGAAAGCTAAGCAGAATTTCGTCGGCGCGAGCGGCGCAGGTGCGCGACAGGCGTACAATCTCATCGGCATTATACTGGCGTACCGCGTTCGAGGAGCGATATTGCTTGAGACCCCGCTCGCTCACCCAAGGCAGATGTGGCTGCTGCACTTTCAGGCCTTTTGCCTTCGCATCCAAATAGTCGAGCATCGGCTGATAGAAATTCATGGTGTAGCCATAGTTGTCGTCATATGTGGTGGTCGCATGACGGAAGCGTGAGGGTCGCTGCTTTAGGGCGAGCGCCATTTCAAGGGAGATGCGAGATGCGAGATGGGAGATGGAGGTTGAAAAACAACAAACCAGGAGAGGGTGAATGTATGGATGTGTGTGTGTGTGTGTTTTTTTTTTGCTTAGAATATGAGTACTCTAATTAAAGCTACAAAAGAACTGAGACTGCTGAGCTGCTGGCTGCTTTGTCGCTTTGCTGTCGTCGTCGTCGTCGTCGGCGACGTCGTTGCCGCTGTGGTCGACGTTGTTGCTGCTGTTATTATTGCTGTTGTTGTCAGTTTTGGCAACAGTTGCTGCTGCTTCGCAAATAAATTTTCAAATTTGTCGAAATCTATAAAAAGATTGCATTTGTTTTTCAGCTGTTTCTGTGGCAGGCAGGCGGACACTAAAGGTATGAACGAACATAATGACGACAACGCTGATGAAGTTTAGCAATTCAGGCAGCAACCGAACTGAACAGAACAGAACATCATCAGCATTGACGAGGACGACAACGACAACAACAACAACAACAACAACGACGTTGGCAGTCAATGCTTGACTTTTGGCTTTGATTGATTCATTTTTCAATTTTTGTTTCTTTTTGTTTTTGGCAGCTGCTGTCCCCGCTATGTCATAATCGCAAAACATTTTATGCAATAGCTTGCGGACAATAGTCGCCAATGCCACGCCCACAATTACATGCAGCTTGGAATTTATTTATCCGCCACCTACCTGTTGCACGCTTCACAATTCCCTCTCGGCATTTGTACTTAAGTCTGGCTTTTGTCACTTCCTTAACTAACTTAGTTGGGAGTTTGTGTGCAATCAATTATTGATTGTGTAATCGTCGTCACAACTGCGCAATTTTCTGTTCGAAATATAATGCAGATAGAGAAAACTACTTTCAATGCCCAACTGCGTAACGTGTGCAAGTAACTCCAGTCGTTTGCATACTTCCACACGGCCTAGGTCCAATCCAAAAAGTGTCAACGATGGCCCTGTCCCCTCACAGGACTTTTCGTTTTCTTGTGGCTGCCTAGAAAACTAACGTCCGTTGCTTAATGCGCGAATTTAGAACTCGTACTGATTTCATGAAATGGGTCAATTAGATTTCAATTGATTTGCGAAAAACAATCGATTAATTATCTCATTGCTATTTCCGCGATTTCGTCGTCGCTTTCATTGTGTGTTGACAAGCACTTCGCATACGAGCACACAGGAAGTGACAAGCTCTTGGCCTTCATATGTCAATGGGACAGAGGCGTTTCTCATGGGAGGTCTTTGGCATTTGTTGTATTTTCCAATTTGGCGCAATTTTCTGCTAAAGCCACTTACCGAATGGCCTCGATTTCCTCATCCTTCTCGGACAGGCGACGCTCAGCATCGTGGCGGAATTGGTTGAAGTCGGCAGCAAGACGCTGGCCGCGCAGTTCCTCAGCCTTGCGAGCCTATGGGATGGAAGAATGATGAAGAGTTAGGGAAGGCATAGAATAACCCAATTTATAAGTCATATTAAATTAATTAAGCTTCAAAGATCAAAGTGATTATCATTAATAACTTCAGGAGACATTTGTTGACATTTTAGTGGTCCTGGAAGTGCTGCCAGTTCTAGTAGATAAGCAGTGGCTTCTAATACATCGGACTTGCGCGCTAAAAGCAGGTAGCCTATAATGTTTGAAATATTAGCCTATAATATTTGAAAAGTGACTCTAAAATTGTAATAATAATATTTCATTCTCATTACTTTATTCATCTACCCAAGTCAATGTGTCTTATGAACTGTAATTTGTACCCGCTTTTCCCCTATTTGGGGTTGAATTTAAATTCAAACTCTTCTTATTACTCAATTTATTTGTAGAGGGGATGTTTGATCAAAACTCATCTTTTTAGGCTTTACTGTAGGGATGTACGATAATTAAAGATTCTAAGCTAGTAGACTCTATTTTCCTTCTAGAACATTGAGAGAAGTTCGGTTCTTAAAATAAATGATTGAATTCTTCTCAGGTTTAACAGACTGATTTAAAGTCTTTGAAGCCTAATTGTTGCAAATATTTGCTTAGGAACTTAAGGTAATGAATTACTTACAGCCTCAGCCTCCTTGTAGGCGGCAGTCAGTTCATCACGTTCGTTCTCCAGACGACGCAACTCCAATTCGAGTTCATGGAGACGACGGTTCAAATCGTTGATAGCACCCTTGGCGTCGTGCAAGTCATCTAGAAAATTCAACAGCTATTACCTGATCTGATTGGAAATAGGTTTATGGGGGTTAAGCTTACCGCCCAACTTCTTGTTCTCGCGAGCGAACTGGTTGTTGGCATCCTTAACCTTGTCCAGTTCGTGCACGGTGCGTACCAAATCGGCCTGCTTGTTCTTCAGATCACGCTGGCTGGTCTCGTACAGTACGATGGTCTCATCCAGACGGCTCTTGAGCTCAACGTTGTGCTTCTCGAGGGTGTTGACAGCCTTCTGCAATTCCCGGCTGGTGTTGTTGGACTTCTCCAAGTCGATGATCAGGACTTCGACTTCGCTGGCCAGGCGGGTCTTTGTCTTCTCCAAGTTGTTGACCTTCACAATCAATGTCTCGATGTGCTCCTCCAGTTCGGTGATGCGGACCTGGTACTTGCGACGAATATCCTCAACCTCTTCAGCACGTGCTGCCACTTCGGCATTCCATTTGTTCTGCCATGAAGTGGCATCAGCATTGGCTTTGACCAACTGACGTTCCAAGTCAATGCGAGCTTCGGACTCTTCCTCGAGTTGAAGACGAATCGAATCCAATTCGGTCTCAACTTGATGCAATGAAGATTCGAGCATTGAACGACGACGGTCTTCGTCTTCCAAACGGCGGCGAGCATCTTCCAGCTGGGAGATGACCTGGCTCTTGGAAAACGAGACTGTGTCCAATTGGGATTTGAGATCTTGGACGTCCTTGATCAGCACAATGTTCTCCTGCGAGAGGCGAGATTTATGCGAAGTAATATCGATAACGGTGCGGTTCAGCTCCTCGATTTTCACATTCAGCTCGGTGATGGAGATTTCCAATCTTTCGATGTGTTTCTGCGAGCTAAGCTTCTCCTTGTTGTAAGATTCGATTTGGGAGAGCAGCTCGTAGACTTCGGCCTGGAATTTGGCCTTATCCTTTTCGGCTCTGCAAATCAGTTTCAAAAACACACACAAAAAACCGTGAAATTCAAGTTTTCCAATCTAAGAAGATAATACTTAGGCCTGTTTTTCTTTTTCTTTTTGTTTTTTGTTTTGGCGATGCGATCAAGCTTTTGAGCGTAAGCTAAGGAAGCTTAGTCTGGAAACATGCAATGTGAGCTTTGAAGCTTTTCTCCCCTTGTGATGCCAAGAAAAAAAGCTAAGGCTGGAACGATCTTCCAAACTGCAAAGCTTTAATGGCTGGCTAAATGGGCAGAAAGCTTTGCCAATTCGTAAAAGTTATAAAGCAGGCTAAAATTCCAATTCATAGAAAGAAAGTCATGAGGTTAAACTTAAATATTCGCACATTTTTCATTTTCCACATTTTCCACATTTTGCGGGGTGTGCTCGTTATTGCATTGACATACGTGAAAAGGCCAAGAAATTATTTTCACGTATGCAAATCCAAAAGGAAAATCATTTTCCCACCTTCAAAGATGAAAAAGCAAAAACGTATCGAATTTCCATAAAGTTCAATTGGACGAAAAGAGACAACAACAACAATAATAACACACACACACACACACACATAGACTAGATTTTGAATATGATTCAATCAAAGACATATTTGGCTTCGGCGTCGGCGCAAATGAGAGGAAATATCAACAACAACAACAACAGCAACAACATTCACACACACTTGATTTTCTGCTTATATTTTTCTCGCCTCTCAACTCAACTCAAGAATGTAGATGAAAATTTACAACAACAAAAATTGTCTTCTAAAAATAAATGCCAAAATATGCACGTTTCTCATTGCTTCTATTATTGTTGTTGTTGCTGTTGCTGTTGTTGTTTGAGTTGTTTTTGTTGTGGCCGCCTCTGGCATAGAGGGAACATATGTTTTTCGATGCGTGCGTGTGAAAAACCAACGTGGGAAAATGTTGTTCGAAAAAGAACTTTTGCAAAAGCTCTGACAAAAGTTGTATCTAGCCAGATAGAGCGAGCCAACTGGCTGATCGGCCGAATTGGGGGAAATGCGCAAACTCGTAGGTGCCTCGAACTTAGGGCGGTGGTCCCAACGAACTAACGAATGTGCATATTACAAGTCTGCAAATTAATAATCCGATGCGATTTTATTAAGGCATAAGGTTTTGAGTGCACTTTTGTGCATTGCGTATACGCCGTGTGTTCGCAAGAGCTTGCGAGAGTATGGTGGCAATGCTATGTGGGCGTTCATTTAGCTTAGCCTTGAATTTTGAAACGATTTCTGAAATTCCCATACACAAATTTTATTTTTGGATATTTTCATTTGGAAATATGAGCAGCAGCGAGCCGCGAGCGTCGATCGTCGATCGTTGAACGAGCGAGTCGAGAATTTTGCTTATTATTGCAAACATATTGCCCACAAATTGTGTCAATAGAACTTGCAAGCCATGCAAGTTTAATATTTTCTTCTTTTCGTTCGCTTTTCTTTTGCGGCATAAACAGAACAACTTTTTGTGTTTTCATTTCTTTTTTGCCGCTGCTGCTACTTGTCATGCCATTTTGATGAATTGTTGTTTTATGGGGCGATCTAGCTTAGGCATTGGCCGTCTTGCCATGCTTTCTTCATTTTTTTTCTTCTCTCTCTCATTATTTTGGGGTCAGCAGCAGCTAGCAAGGTTAATAAGCTGATTGTTTGCGTTACTTGGCAAGTCAACAATAAGCCGATTATTCTCTAAAGACATTGAAAAGTCAACGCCAGCTGACGCCACTCCATCATCGTCAACACGATGATCGGCTGTGGCGATCACTCTTGTCTTGTTTGCATTTTCTAGGTCAGCAGTGCATGCATTGTTGGGATTTGGTTGAACTTTGTCATACCTAGACCGATTTTTCGTCAGGATTTCAATTTGTTCTTGGAAATCCGTAATAATTTCGTTGTGCTTTTTCTTCAAAAGCAAGGTGGTCTCCTCAGATTCAAGATGAACATCCTCAAGCAATTTGCGCAGCTTCAAGAGCTCAGCATCACGCTTGCGATTGGCTTCAAACTAAATATAGAAGATATTAAAAAGCATCAATTAATTAATTGATAATTCAATATTCAAAATCGAGTACTCACTTGATGTTCAGCACCACCCTCGGCTTCCTCAAGACGCTCGGACATTTGAATGACCTGCACGCTGAGATCAGCTTTCTCGCGCTCGATCTACGATTGGATTCAAGGAGAGAACATTGATAAGTTTACCAAACAGTAAAGGGTTTCAGGATTAGTGCCCATAGAGTTAAAATCTGTATACCATATCTACTTATTTTACCTTCAGACATTTTCTATTTTAGAGTCTGCCCAGCTGCTCATAATTTCGGTTCTGTCTCGCTAACGTATTTCATAATCGAAAAATTGTGAGCATCCCACACACACGCATGTCTGTTTGTCATTATGCATTATATGGCATCTCAAACGGCCCATAAACTATATAAATCATATTAATCAGTCAGAAATAATTATGCACATGCACACCTAAAATAACAAACGGCAAAGTGCCAAAAAATGGGGAAAAATCGACGAGCATAGCTACTCGTATTGCCGACCATATATCAAATCTATAGTTGGTGAACAAAACTGTGTTGGCCGTTCTGCTCAGTTCTGTTCTGGGCCATCTGAAATGGCTCCTATAGTCGTGCATATTGCATTTCCAAAAAGGCAGTTTGCGAATTGCAATTTTTTTACTACACACATCTAGACGACGCATTTCTGTGGAACGGCAACATTTTTATTATGCTTTGTTGCCTGGTGTTGACCCAATTAGAGCCATTTGCCGCCATTTCCTCGGCGTCGTCTCTAGTCTCTACAAAGCGCAATTAAATGGAATTTTATGCGCTTCTTTTTGTTTTCCGCGAAACGCAATGTTTTTGCAAATCAACGATGGAATCGGTAGCCTCTGAGGTGTGTGGGTGTAGGTGGGTGTGGGTGCAATTTGCCATAGATTCAGTTTTTATAGACTATATAAGTAAAAACGATGAAAAACGACAAACAACAAATACTTGTATGTAGTATAGGAATGAGGAAGCCTGACTAAAATACCGAACAATATTTGGAATGTGTTCAAAGTCCAGGATGAGATGCTTTAGAATACGTTTTGAAAATTATCGATCAAACTAATTAGCAATAAGCAATATTTGAAAACTTAGAAAGCGAGCGATAAACAATTTGAAGTGCAGGAAACGACTGAAGAGGATTTGCAACGAACACGTGAAATTAAGACTTAAAAACATATATATGCGCTGGTATAATAAATGTATAATAATAATAACACACTGTATTAAAGTGGAGAAAAAGTGTCGACAAGAAAACTAGATTTCGATTTGAAAGATGTTCAGACAGCTTCAAAAGATTGCAAGCTCGCTATGTCGTTGTTGGTAGTTTTATTGGACAAATGAAGAACTATAACAAATGGAATTATATGTGAGGATTGTAAAAAGAAATGGAGTTCTGTGAAGCATATTTTTGTAACAGAAACAAATCATCTGAAACGTAAAACTTGTGTTTCTCATTAGTATTCTAATATCCTCTTGTAATATTCCCTGGTCTTAATGTGCAATGGAATTATATCAAAATGTTTGGTTCTGAAACGGAGACTTGCGATGGAAAGTGCTTCAGAAAATCGCATTATGAAAAAGGCGTCGAAACTATTTTGCTAGGGCTCTAAGGATCCTCATCGTAGCCCTCCCCTGTGCTATTGTGCAACAATGTCTGATATACTTATTTGAATTCATTTACGGCATGTGTATCTGATAAATAAAAATTGTGTATTGTACAGACATGGCGCTGTTTGTTGCGGTGTGAAAAATTTTAATGTGCAAGAAAATTATTTAATTTGCCCACACACTCACACACACACACACACACAGACACACAAACACATATGTATGTACGTGTATTTCAGCTGCGTGGCTGCCAACAAATTTTGTACATGTGGCTTTTGCTTGGGCAACTTTTAGCTTTCTTGATCTATACCACACACACATATACATATACACTACCATATAGGTAGACTATATGTGTATGTATGTGCACATGTGTGTAAATAGGTATAGAAATTTATGTGTGTATGTAGGTATGTGGTGTGTTGATTTCCTCAGCGTAGCGTTTGCTACTTTATTTTCCTTTCTTTTGACCGCTGTTGCTGCCGTTTGGCTCTTCATATTTTTGTTGTTTTTGTTAACTTAATCATTGCTTGTGTATTGAATGTCGTGCGCTAATTTTAGCCATTTTGTTCCATATTATGTGTGTGAGTCGCTGTATACTCGAATACGATAAATATGTGAATTTGTGAATATGTGAGCGAGTGAGAATGTGTGAGTGTGTGTGCTAATCCATAAAGCAAAAAGTAATTAAAATAATTTCCAACAAGAAGAGGAGCAACAGCAGCATCATACTTGTATGAGTATATATGTATAGGTAGCAAGTGCTCATCTGCTGTCCGCCCTGGTCGAATGCCTGACGGCCCCAGGCCAGGCCGGGCGCATTTTCTAAATTTGTAATGCCACTACTCCACCAGCAAACAGGAAAACACTTTGCGATCAGGCGCCGCATTCTGAATGAAGTACATCTCAGTTTGTTGCAATTTCCCTCTTCCCCTTCCCTCTCCCTTTCCTCTTTTCAATTTGCATTTTGCTTTTGATTTTGTATTTTGTATTTTTTGTTGTCATCGCCAGTGTTTTGTGAACGCAAAGCATCACAAAATCACAAAAAATTCAAAATCATTTATCACTTGATTTGGCTTTGTGCCTCCATTTTGTTGATGTTGCTGTTGCTGTTGTTGTTGCTGTTATTTGTTATTTGTTATTGTTGCAGTGTTTTGCTCATTTGCTAAGCACGATTGAAGTTCAATGCACATCATTATCATTTGCAACAAACTCGAAGGGTAATTTATTATTAGACGCCTTCTATCTCAGTCCGCAGACGCAGTCTCCGACTCTGTATCTGCCTTTGCCTCTGCCTCTGCCACTGTCTCTGCTCTCTAATGCAACAATTTTCTATTGTTTTGTGTGCCTTGCTATTTTGTTTCTATTCGTTTTTTTGCCATACCACATATTTCTGCTGTTTTTAGGTGACATTTTCACACGAAAATATCGAAAATTGCCTCATCGCTGGCTTTCTCTGACTTTCTGTTTTGAGTTTGTTTTGGGAGGAAGTGGCAGGTGAAATTTGCATATGAACTTATACTTCATATATATATATATATAGTATGGGTAAGTTTGTGTTGCTAACATAAAACTAATCATTTTTAAAAAATCGATTTGTTTGCTCAAACAATACTGTTAATTGGTTTTAATTCTTAAAGATCTTTAATTTCAAGCCCATGCCTAAATTAGAATACAATATAGAAATATTAGAACTACAAGTAAGATCGCATTCTGGTCAACTGCTAGAATATGAACTTTTAACATTTCAAAGTATATTTATAGTCATCGTTAGTTATGAATCCAGAGAACCTTTAGTTCAAATATTAAAAATTAGAAAATAAAAATTAATAAGCTAGGAATCTTATGATTCTTCAGTTAGAATATTGGAAATGATCTACAAAATGTTCCCTGAATGTATTCAGCTACAATTTTAAACCATCGCTAGCTTTGATTTGAAAATAGATAAAATTATGTGTGATGCCGAAAACTCTTGAGTTTACTTTAGTTTTTTGTCCGAAAGCGAATTCTGAATAACTATGAAGTTTTTTTTATTGTTAATGACAATCTTTCACTTATAAAATAAAGCCCACATTTTAGCCCAAAAAATACTTATACAATACATCGTTCTAAGTAGTTAGTTGTAACGTTTTTAGTCACATACGAGTATTAGTTATTAACTTACCCTTTGACGCAATTCACGTTCAACTTCAAGATCATCTTGGAGCAAACGGATCTTGTCCTGTAAGTAATGTAAAATGCGTATAATTCTTTAAACTCAATTCTTGATACACATTTGCGTAGTTGGAAAACACATTTTCAAAGCAATTTTCTTGCACGGCTTATAAGTACAAGTAGTAGAGGTGAGGTGTTGGTGTTATTTTAAACGCGCTCATTACATAATATTACCGAAGCATATACATAGTTGTGTAGATATTTTTGCTTAAACGAATTTTATATTTCCACATACTTGTAGAACGCAACGTACAGACACTCGCACAAATCTATACATACTACGAGTATGTGTATGTGCATACATATATATATATATATATATATATATATATATATATATATATATATATATATATATAATATATATATATATATATATATATATATATAATATATATATATATAGAGAAAGAGAGTGGATATTTTGCGGTATGTATTTGATTTTTTTCAGTCTCTACACACAAATAAGTTGGATTTCATCATATGGCGGACGCAGAATTCGTTGCTTTAGCGAATTCTTTTGCTATATATTTTAGTTTTTATTTTTGTGTTTTTTTTTTCGTTTATACGTATTTCTTCCCGTCAAGTTAGGTTAGAAATGTTGCACTTTAACGGCACTTGGACGCGTTAGGGGCTTAGCGGCTCCTTTTTATTGGTTCTGGTACTGCATATCCAAAGGCTAGTGGACGATCTTACCTCCAAGCGGGAGAGGTTGCTCATGTCGGTGATGTATTCGATGTTAACATCGGCACCACCGGGTCCGGTCGAAGTGGCCCGGTAGGAGTATTTCGAGGAGCGTACAGCTTGCGATGATGACATTTTTTCTTATTTTTTTTTTCTTGCTTAATCAGTTATTGATGGATTGGCTCGTTACGCGATAGGCGCGCTTAATGAATAAATATTGATATTTGTTTTTTAAATTTAAATGATTTGAATTTCAGATGAAAATCTCCACGGACACACAGCACAGCAGAGCAGCACGCAATGTGTTGTAGTTGTCACCGAGTCACCGAAAAAATTCGTAATAAACGTCGGAGAAAGGCTGGTGATCTACTGAACAAGAGATCCCGTTGTCGTTCGAATAAAGAGTATTTCGTTTATTTGGCCGCTGGTCGCCAGTGTTTTCTTCTATTTCTACCCCAAAGTCTTGGGTGCTTGAGTTCGTTTTTCGATCGCTTTTGAACGTTCGGTTCGGCTTTTTGAGTGTGCTTTCAGTTTTTTCTTTTTTTTTTTTTTTTGGGCGCTTATTTTCGTAGCTGCCTCACTCCTCCTGAGTGAGTTTTTTCCCAACTCAAGGCACTCGGCAGCGGCATCGGCATCGGCATCGGACTCTGAATCGGACTCGGACACGTAGTCGGGTTCGGGATCGGGCCAGTGCCGATTTGTGTGTTAATTGCTCAGTTGTGTGGAAAATTCTTTGATTTTGCTTTTTGGCTCTTCTTGCTCGCTTTGGCTTTGGATTTGCCTTTGGCTTTCGTGTGAAGGCATTTTCACGCTAGTTTTCCTTTCGACATACGAAAATAAACTCAACGCTTCTGTTTTTCTTGTTCTGCCTGAGTTTTTCCTCTTACCTGTAATTAGCCTGTGTCATTTATTTGCCTCTCAGGCGTATCTTCTGGCCGTGTGTATCTATCTGTTAATGTGTGTATATATATATATATACTCGTATATACTTTTCATTTAGTATCTACAGCAAGATCTATTGGAAACTATGCGTACGATGCTTTTATAGTAGAGTTCCGTTGGGCAATTGCCATCATCAAGTTTTTCATTTATAATTATTTATTAATTTTATTTGTTTTTCCCAAGGCGTCTTATTTCAAATATTCGTGTTGCTAATTCATATTTAATAGCATTGCTGAAGGTTTTTTTAAATTAACATTCTATTTTGGCATTGCATATACATTTTTTATGCACGTACCCCCGATAACGCACATTTGTTCAGTTTTACATTTTGCAGTTCGCTTGTCGACGCCAGTTCGGGGCTAGAGTCTAGGGAGATTATTTGACAGAACCTACTGGTTGATTCCATACTCACTAACGTGACTTAACTACTATTACATATTCTATAAAAAGTTGTATAAATGAAGGTATAGTTTGTTTAAAACAGCGTACGTTTCTGGTAAAACATTTTCAATTCCATTTCGATCGAATCAAGTCGGAATCGATTTGCAGATATTGCGAGATTCCTACAAAATGAGTTATTCGTGTTTTAATACCCATGGGCTATGAAAAAGTCCCAAATAAAATGGCATTGAAATTAATTCGGAAAATGTGCTATTTCGGAAAACAAAGCTCAATCGATTTCGAGTAATCCAAGCTAAATGAAATCATATAGATAAGTATTTCAAGAAATATTTGCCAGTAAGAGAAATTTTAAAACTCCCACAAGCACTACACAAAGAACTTACAGTGAATAATCAATTTGCAATTATGAGATGATTAATTCTTAATATTTTACTTCGCTATTTCCACTGTTATCGAAGCTGAGAAGAGCTCTCTAACAAAAGATTTTAGAAAAGATTGAAAGCCTGGGAGCAGCAGTTGCTCTCACACGAATATAGTTGCCAGAACATTCTACATTTGAAGAAAATTTATACCAACCATAGCTAAGATAGCATCAGAGTTCCATGAGGATAAATAAAAGGAAAAGTAAACTAAAGGAGATCAGTTCATAAGTCTTTAAATAAAATGCCACTTTTCATCAAGTGTTGATGTAGGAAAACATTCATTCACGCATACAAGAGCTTGCCGAAAGATCTGGGCAATCCATTGGAGTGTAATAGACCCAATTATATAGTGGCAGTTACCAAACACATTTCAATAATTACAGTTGTGCACAATTGTGTTTGTATTCATGGAATAATTGTTAATTAATATTTCTCGGTGCTCCACAGTGCCAACTTGGTCTATTCCCTATTAACTTAAGTCCTGTTAACTTATATTGTGCTTTATTTTTCAAAAAATATAAATAACCATTTTATACAAACGTGGCTGACTAATCTTTCTTATTGTTGCGATAATTTATGAACCCATAAAGCGAGACATGCGATGTATTTTGAAATTTCATTTCCATTCCACTAAACAAAGCTCATAAAATGATACTAAAGAGATCTAAGTCCCTGACCATACATCAAACATACTAAGTAAGTATGTAGGTTAAGTGTCTCGAAATATTTGTTTCAAAATATAAATATATACACCAAATATTTAAAGTCACTTTTATGAATGCTCAAAAGCAAGGCCCTTTTGGAGTAAAACATATGGACATTCGTAAATGTTTTTAAGTGTTTCAAAGACCGCAAACTATAAAAAAAAGTTGGGAGAAGAACAATAAAACTTCAATGAGTTCAATTAAAGCTTTAAATCTTATTTTGTTTGTAGAAGTGCAGATATGAAGAGAACTATGTAGATTGATGCTGACTATCCTGGACATGAAAGAATGCTATACTGGCCGCATCTAAAATACCTTATCTGGAGGTTAGAGAATATTTAAGCTTATATTTCATGAGGAAAGATTCATTTGATATAAAAATCTGATGTCATTTTGATGTCATGAGGAAGTAATGGACTGACTCTGGCCCTTTGGTATACACATGAGGTAGTGGTCCCACACGACTCTGAATAGATCAGAGCGCCCAGTGAAGACCAATTTTTGAGTTAAGAAGAAAACCGATGCCACAGGGCAACTTTATGTTGTCAGCCTTGTCTGTGCTACTTGGAGAAATTACAACAGTAGTGACGAAACAAAACATTATTCTCAATTTTACCCAATTGTTTAACATTTTTCGATTCAATAATCAACTCTGATTATCTGATGGGCAAATGAAACTTCTCTTAAATGACGAAGGCTCTTACCTTTATTCATATAGTCTACGTAAAATCTGGAATATTATATTATACTAGATGCAAGTCTATTTATACTTGTATTGAAAAGATTACAGCATTTTTGCAAATAAATGAAAATCATAAAAATGTGTGTACATAATCTTTATTCGAATTGAAAATCGTCTGCGTTAGCAGCCAATTTGAATTATTTATAAAGTCTGCCAAGAAATATTTGACTCTTGGCATCGAAAAACATATTTTAGCCGCCCCTTAAACCTCTCCGACCCCGCCATACACTAAATACAAAATATAAAAGATAAAAAGAGAAGAAAACATAAACAGAGGGAAAACTATTGCTAATATCAAGTGGTGTGCGTTTTGAGTGAATCCTTGGCAATGCTAAGAGTCTGTTTGTTGTTCTTGTTGCTTCTGTTTTTCCGCCACATCAGAGACAATGTGTTGTCAGTTTACAATTGTTATTTAATGGCCAAGCAAATGGGGAATAACAGATTAACAACATCGAGAAATAAAAAACGCAAATTGGCAAGCAACTGCACAGATTCTGTCTATTAGCCAGCGCGATACGCTTTATTAAACAATTTTGTAACATTCGAGTGAAAAACAATATTGCGGCGCTCAATTTTCCAAAAGCTTTTTGAGTGAAAGGCCCGGAACGCGGACGACTGTCTCGGCACGATCTCTACCTGTGTGTTTGCTGTTGTTGTTGCAGTTGTTGCAGTTGTTGTTGGTGCGCACACACATCTGTGCATACATATGTATGTATGTTTAATAAAAAAAATATACTTAAAAATGATTTTTCGCTTATTTTTAGCAACTGAATTTAAAGTTTTTCTTCTTGTGCCTTTTTTTTTTTTAGTCTGCTCATAATCATGTTCATTTTCCACACACATTTCACCTGAGTGGATACACACCTATATACTTGTACCTACATATACTCGTATATATATTTAGGAACGTGTACATATAGTTGGCTGACTTGGCCATTTTGTGTGAAATTTTCGTATCTTCTAGATGTCTACATATATAATAGAATGAGTGTTATTTATTATACTTGTAGGTATATGCACTTGCTAACAGAGCAAAACATTTGCGTTTGCCACATTTTGGAATGTGTAATATTTTAAAAATAACACGGCAAATACGCACACACCTACATACTTGTAGTATAGATGAGAAAATTGTCTATTACTTGGCTTGATAAAATAAATAAGCCATTTAAAAATAGACACACACACACACACTTCCTATCTTCGTGCAAAACAATCGAATCGCTGAGATGTGGAATGTAGAACTTTATTGTAAGTCTCATATCTTTCTCTTTTGTGTGAAAAGTATTTCAAACATACTCGTGTGCAGGTTTCCATTAAATGGTTAAAGTGAACAGAGAGGGGACATCCTCACTGCTATCCTTACAAACTAGTGAATATATTAAATAATAATGTGTATTTTCAGTTAAGAAGTTGTGAGCAAGGCTTTTTTGAAGCAAATTTTAGGACTTGGAGATGCTTATTTATAATATGAATATACCAATAATTTTTAGTCGTATTGAACTAAATGTTAACTTTTGAAATTTTAGACAAGATATGTCCCATTTTATTGAGCCACTTGTTGGTCCTTGCCGCTGAATAACATGTCCTATCCTTCACAAAATGTATTATTTTGTCACCAAGAAAAAGGCGGTAATACTTAATGCATTAAAACCATCTTATGTTTAAAGATAGAATTGTTGTCCCGGCTTGGACACTGTTTTAGCTGCTGTTTTATTGCCATAATTCATGTGGAACCCATACATAAATTTTTTTTTTTTAAGGCAGCTTTTTTAAGTGTTTTAAGTATATTTTAGGGCAAATTTTAGCTTTAGCAATAACATTTATTACAATTTTCCACGGCATAATGCAAGGCTGTATCGGGGTCAAAAAAAAAATTGCTTACATTTTCAATACATTGTAAAATATGCCTTACTGGCATCCATGCTTAACACAATTTATTTCACAAATTCTTGAATCAAACTATCAAGAATTGAAATGAAACTTTTTTGCAGAGGAGTCCTTCAAATATGAAATTATTTACAAAAAATATATAAATTGTAAACAAAAGTAAACCATTTCTAATGTTAATTTTCATTTGGCTTTAATTAAACTTAATCTAGCTTTTGCTGAACCAATTTATTGTATCAAATTTGTTTGCTCTGCTCATGTGTATGTATTCTGAGAGACCGATAAAACTGTTTTACATTTCAGTTAAGAATCAGCATAAATACGTTCCACAAACTTCTGGTGTGCAAATTTGAAATCGCTAATACCTGAAATGACTTGACTTGACTTTAACTTTCAAATCCACAATCAGTGGCAATGAGGCAGACGGGTAGGCCGGGAGGCATTTGAGCTTATTTCCGCATCAACTTTTGATGGGCGGCACTGCATCGCCTCATTGCCCAGCATTTTACAGCTGCGCTGAGGTCAGTGATGAGGAGCCGGCGGCAGAAGCCAGCAGCCAGCAGCCAGAAGCCAGAAGGAGGAACCACCGCCAACACCACAACCACCTCCACCACCACCACCATACCCGTCAACGTCAGGCTAAAGGCAGAAATCACTCGTTGCTCGAAGCTCGTTGCTTGTTTTTTATGCGTGTTTCATGTTTCGTGTGTGCCAGCGGCATAAAATTGGGTCAAAATTGTTATGATCACACACACACACACACACATACACTCACTTATATATATATATACATATAGTCAGATATACACACTCGTGTGCATAGTCGGAGTGTGTGCAGTTATATATAGATCGGCATGTGGGCATGCATACTAGATGAGGTGTTTTCCTGCTTTATAAAGTGTGCCCCATTTGACAACAACGCGCCACTTTTTCGCATGCCACACTCGAAGCATTTCTAGGCTTTTGTTGTTGCGCCTTTCTTTCAACTTGTGGCCCCAAAGTAGCTGCAGAGTCGTTTCAAGCACCACTGCAAGTGGTGCGCGATGGAGCTGCTCAAGTGGGCAACCACTCCATGTGGGTGGCTGCCCTCGACACTCTACACTCTACATTCTACACTCACAGCTATGCCTGAAGCTAACAACCTAGGCAAGAAATACCAACAAATCCTAAAAATACACACTCTTTAATGCATTCACAAATAAACAACAACAACAACAACAGCAGCTGGCGCTGCAATCTTAATGTATTTTTTACTTCGACTGCAAAGATAATCGCATTTGCAATTTTTGGCTAAGACCCTGTCTGCCATTTGTTGTTGTTGTTGTTGTCGTTGTCGTTGTTTCGTTTCAGCGCCCTGTTGACAACTTTGAATCAAATCTGATGATTCACGCCTCCTCCCACCTTGTGGCGCACGTAATGTCAATAGGCATTGTACTCGCGCCCCCACTCGCCCCCACTCGCTCGGACGCTAAGCACATTTGACACATCTTAGCATTTCTCTTTTGATGCTGCAGTCGTTATAAGTATTACGGGTATATAGCACATACTTGTAGAGTTCCTATAATACACTGTGACGTGTGCTCTGAAAAAAACTGAGTCATACCATATATTTTTGCGCACAGGTTGAAGACATATTCTATATGATATATGCGCCGATGTGGGCGCTGCTCTACAAGACAACCGAAGTGCCTTCATTGTACATATATACACTCACACACATATATCTGAATATACTATATTCTTACCTATCTTCATTTATATGTTTGTGTATTTTAATCAAAATGTTTTCGATGAGTGATGCTTTGAAAGCAACAACTGCTGCTGAAAAACTATAGTTATTCGATAATATAAACGAAATACTACACATGATCACAGAAGCATAACATCAGTTTTCCAAAAACTTTTACTTATAAACTATAGATATCTCACATATTTCAATTCCATAGAGTGCATCGCACACATGAGAAATTGCACTTTAAAATAATTAGTTAATCCGTTTGAAAATCTTAAAACCTTAAAGGGCGCTCAGTTTTTTTTTAAATTCTTCAAGACTGGACTTAAATAAGCAATTAGGCATCTTCAAATATTCAAGCGTGTGCCCTTTTTCTTGATTATAGATTGAACACTGCATACTTCTGTAGGTTCCCTAGTATCAAATAAAGTATTATTTATTATTTCAAATTTCTGAAAATTTTGAAATCCATCAAGTTAGCACACTTATTCTTAGTCCATCCTCGTTTCTCGTTCTGATCAGTTAAGCTGTGCCACATATACATACTATAGTGGACATTAATATTATTTGGCAAAAGCGATTATTCATCAAAAATAAGTTTGCGTCATTTGACGATAAATTCAATTGCAATGTTATTAATGTCTACCTCGAAGCTGTTGTAGTGAGATTTATTTAAATAATTGTGAATAAATATTGTGGCACATATTTGACATTCTACCAAATTAATAGAACTGAACGGGTTTCGAGCATATTCGATCGCAAGTCTATGAAGGGCTAATGTCTTAATTTGTTCAATTAGAAAATAAATAATATTCAATACTTTTCATAATCCATAAAATGGCTATTAATTGTATGATGTAGAGGAGATTTTAATTTTGAAGTGTTTTTTTTTTTTGTCATAGAACTGGAGCATTCAATTTCAAACATAATGTTGTTTTGTTTTAGAGAATTTCAGCTAAATAATAAACTGCATCGGAATTTTTAAGTATCAAAATAATAATTTATTCGGATTATTAATGTCAACTTAATTGTTTCAGCAAAATTTTTTATCAAGTAGCTATGTAAAATTGGAAAATATCATTAAATATCCATAATCATTTAAAAGCAATACAAAATACTTTGCAACTGATTTGAAAACTTGCATCTTTGAAACTATAGTCTGTAATAAGTATAACATACAAATAAATTACTAAATAGACACCCTGTATAGAGCTTGAATGTGAGCCATAAAAGTTCCATTCAATACACAACCCGGCGACTACGTTCAGCGAAGGCAGCAACCAAGAGATCATGAAACGCTAAACTCACACATAGATGGCGTTTCGAATTCATTAACGACCGATAGTGCTCAGCAATTCTCATCCAATTGAAATAATGTGTTTATTTAATTGCATTTTGGAACCCTAATTAGCCTAATTAACAACACCAGCCATTTCAGATATCAGATATCAACTTAGCAAGAACTCGATTAGGTTCGTCAGCTGTCGCAAGTTCACGTAGTTTACCAGCACCACATAGGCATAGCAGGTGTAGATGTAGGCCCACCACTGAAAGTGCAGGGGCTTGGAGGTCCAGTTGTTGTTGTAGGGACCCCCGCCCAGCTGCAGCATGTGGGCGTGGTGTCGTTCTGTTAGGAGGCGGCGAAAGACTGCACCGGCCAGGTAGACGACGCTCAGCAGCAGAATGAGGCGACGCAGATGGACCAGCAGGAGGGCCATGTTGAGGGCGTTGTGTGGCCTATTTCCTGAATGATTGTGTAAATTAATCTGATGTTGATTAATATTTCAGAATTTATTTCATTCCCGACACGCACACACACTTTTGTGGTTGTTCCCTCGTTCCTTTCGACACTTGCACTTTTCGCGCTTGTTTTCTGCGCCCGATTCAATATCGCAAGTTTATTTTTACACTTTTCCTCGCGAATTGCGAATTATTATTTGTGTGTGTTTACTCGAAATTTCTTGTGCTTGGGTTTCTCGTCGTTTTGTTTTCGTCGCAACTTTCGGTGCCATCTGCATTTCGAGTGGCAACGCTTGCAAAAGTTTTTTGAATCTAGAGAATATTCAAATCAAGTGCTTTTTGCAGCTTTTTGCTTTCGCTTCTTCATATATTTGTACTTCAGCTCTTGATTGGGCAATCGTCTTCAATTCCTTATTATTTCAAAAGACCTTTCAGCATGCTAAATAGCTGAGCATTTTCCACAAGTGTATACAAATTCGACGCTAATTCCATGTAAATATTGCCACAACTGTGCCAAGTGGTGCTGTGCCGCATTTTAGCACGCGCACAGTGCGTATACGCAATATCAAATAAAATACTTGAGACGCACTAAAACAAAACGCTGCTGCGGTCGCACTTCAAACAGCTTCTTCAGCAACTAACCTTGAAACAGTCAACAAATCAACGAGAAGCCAACAACCAACATTTTTTAAACCAAACAAATCCAAAATATTGCAACATCGTAGGCACAATTTCGTTAGTGAGGCTGGTTAAGAACGCAGATGCGAGCGGCGAAAAATATTTCAACTAAATACTAGCTATGTAGTGAGCCTGAAAGCAAAAAATACAAATAAAAAGAACATGTGTTGCAACAATGACATGAATGGAAAAGCGACGCGGCCATAAACAAATGCATAACAAATCAGGAAACTCAAATACCGCGAGAGAAGGCTATACGCTTTAACTGCCGTTTTTCAAATCCATTTAAATCATTTAAAAAAGAACAAAAACAAGAATAAGTATCTAAATGTGAATATAAAATACATAAAAAAAATATAAAAGTGCTGCGAATGCTGGGAACAAAAACACTCGCTTTAATTACCAATCTTATTCTAATTTGATTTAACAAAATCCTTGGTTCTAATACAATTATTTGCTAATGATTTCTGCATATTCGTATTACCCATATGTCAGTTCTTACTCTATTCATGATAGCCCTATGTTCGTATAAGAATATGTGTGTGAAACCTTCCTTAACTGATTCCCATTCCCAATCACCTGCATCGCTCCATCTCCTGAGAGTCCTGCTTGTTATGTGCAGAAGAGTTAAGAGAATCTATTTGAGCCAACTGGGAATACCATGGGAGATTATACCAAACCAGCAGCGAGATCGAATCTTGAACGTGAAGAACACCTTCTTTTCATGGTTATAGCAGTTGTTCTTAATTATGTATTTTTAGCAGTGACACACAAAAAACTACAAAACAAAATCTTAAACATAATGCTGTAGGGCTGACTCATAAATCCGGAACTGCAAGCAAAAGTTTTATGCGCTAGAAAGCCAGAGATTTTCCAACTCAAAACATTTGCTTTCAGATGTGTGAAAAATACCATGAAATCGAGAATGAAAATGAAAATTGAATTTAAATAAAAAAAAAAAAAACAGCGGCACAACATGTGCGTGTCTCTTGGCCGGAGCGTGTGTCTTTTGCTCACCAGAATTGTCTGCATATTCGTCTTATCTGTCTGCATCGATGCAAATGCACGATACAATAATAATTTGGTCGACTTTATTAAACTATGTGTATGCTTTGGGCACGCCCCTTTACCAGGCTGCGGCGGCAGTAGCTATTAATTTTATTAACTAGCGTTTGCATCTCTTCATTGCATAATCTGTCGCTTTTCCACCCCTCGAGATGTTGAAGACATAAATTAAAAATTCAAATCGTACAAATGATTGAAAGGCCTAAAAGGCACGCCGCACAGTGGGTACAGTTTAAGCAAAATATGAGTACAATTTCTGAAGAAATTTTCGTGGGTGGATTATAAAAATGAAATATTACAAATGTGTCGAGAAAAATAGGCAAACACTAGGACACCATGAAACGCACAATTAGAAATTTTAAGTAATAAATTTAGCATTTCAGAATATTAAACATATGTAACATACACGAATGGCACAGAAAAATACCCAATAATACCCGCATATTCGCAATTCACAGTCAAGTGTTGTTAAATAGAAATTCTCTTATAGGAATATTCAGTTCGATTGTGTTGCTTTTTATCACTTGAAATGCAATTTTCTAAATTGTTAAGATAAGGTCACACGAACTTGTCTTAGCTTACAATCAGCCCCTGGAAAGTTTATCTGTTGTTGAAGAAAATAACACTTGACTATGGAATGCTTACTAGTTTCCATTACATCGAATTTGTGTGCAAATTATTTGCCTGTCTGTTCATTGCGAGTTTTTATATGCCCCTTGTGTTGTTGAACTCCATAGTACAGTGTGGGTCGGCTGCTATTTGCGTTTCTGTACCACAGTGCGTATGATTAACCGCTTCGGATGATGCACCGAGCGCTGCCCTCGGGATTTCCTCGCTGACTTTTATAGCTGTATGTGGTGTGTGTGGAGTGAGGCTGTGGGAGTGGGTGTGGATGTGGGTGTGAGCATGGGTATGGGCATGGGCATGGGCATGGACTTCTGCGAGTGGGTGTGCAACTGTAAGTGTGAGTCGGTGCACGTTTTTTATGGCCTGCTCAAATTTATTTTTCGTTTTGAGGCAACACAGCAGTGGCAGCTAACTGCAACTTGTATTGCCAACGAAATCGATTTGTTTGCCTCGCGGTGTTTCCTCTGCTGCGTCGGCGTCTAGAATACTAAAAATATTTAAAGAAAGCATGCAAAATGCACGCCTGTTGTTGTGCCTTTATTTTTTAATGCGGCGTTGAAAGCTATTTGTATCTGTCGGTCAGATTAGGTTAATTTCTTCTTTCCTATTCCCTTTCCTTTGTTGTTGTTGTTGTTGTTGGTGGTGGCAGTGGTGCCCTGCACTCATGCATTCGACACCCACCCGCTGCATGTCTTTCGTCAAAGTGTCGAGCCACTTCGCCTTGTGCCAGCTATTAGCCATTGATACCCCATTGGATTTTCCGGCCATTTAGCGTCTTTGTCGCTTGCTTTGATTTATGGGCGGGCAGCAAGGCTGGCTGGCTGGCAGGCTGGCAGGCGACTTTTCTAGTGGGCTTTAGCACTTTGGTGTCATGGTAATAATAATGAGAAAGAGCATTTCTTTTCGGCGGACACATCAATTGAAATATAAAATGGTTTCTGGCATTTTGCGCATATTTAGTTAAATGTTCACTTAAATGACAGACAGTGCCGGCTTTTTGCTTTCTGCTTTCTGCACGCCTCTTTGTTTCAAAGACGTCATTTTCTTCATTTTCATTATTGTTGAATTCTTGAATTGCGCTTCCGGTGCGCCGGCCACAAAAGTGGCACACACAAAGATACAAATACAGATACAGATATAGCTGACTGTTTATTTTTAAGCAGTCATCGCGAAATGAAATCGAGTACCAGTATGTGCAGATGAGAGTACAGCGAAGTATGTCGTCTTCGCTCTATACTGTACTACTCGTACACGTATGTGTGCAGAAATTCTGTGATTAATTAATGAACAGGCGTGTGCTGACATCTGTGAAGTCGCAGGGAACCGAAGAATGCAAGGAAGTACAAATGGTGGGAAACGAATAATAAAAACTGCTCTGGTGAATGGAAAATAACACAAACACCTCATGTTAAATTGTATAAAAAATGTGTGTTGTTCACAGAAAATATACATACATTTGACGGTTGCCCCTAAAAACTGATTATTCAGTTTTTATTAAAATTTATTATTACCAATAAAGTTTCGCATTCAATTTGTTTGAAGGAATTATTAGATTTTGATGTGTCTCTGTATTTGTTGAGTTCTTTGATACTTTTTGTTGAAATTGAACACAAATTGAGGAAAAGGGCGCACACACTGACTACACAAAAAACCTATTTGAAAATTTACTTAAAGTCACCCTTTAACTCAAGTTTCAAAAGATCTAACATTTCAAGATCTTAAGGAATCAAGGAATAAGGGAAAGTAACTGCTTGGCTTACATCTGCAGTATCTTTCATGAAGTGTCCGAAGTCATTAAAGAAGCAGTGAATCTGCCGAATCATCAGGGAGTTACGGGCCCAATCACGGCTAAGTATTGGTAGTGAGATTCCAATAGACTCGAGGGAACAACCTGGGAATGATCGTGGTTCAATTGTATCCAGAGTTTTTTCAGGCCTCCTGTAGATAAGGAAAGTACGAGTTCTTTTCATTACGTTCGTCTCCATGGTTTTTTAAGCAATTCTTTAGAGCATTCCCTCCGATGCATGATATTGATATTGTTGGATTCAATACTTCTGAAAAGTTTCTATGGAGATGGCCTTAAAGAATGTTCAGTTGTCATTTAAGGTTGGTTTGTTTAGCTCCTGTAATACTTTATCAGAGACATATTTGAACGAAGCCAACCGTTTACATATTTGTATTTATATTTTATTATATTTTATACTCCTCCTTGTATAAAGTCAGTTTTAACTGCAAACGTTAATAAATAAATCAATTAATCTTAATGCAGAGTATAGAATAATTCAACTCTATCACAAACTATGTGTATGTAAAACTTCCCAGCCAGATTCAGATAATTCCGAGCATTTTTTAGTGCATATTTAAAATATGTTTTCAAAAATATTGACAATTGAAATATTTTTTATTCATTTGCTATGTATTTTCGGAAAGTTTAAGAACAAATTAATATTAATTTCAGTTTGAAATTGCACTTCAAAGGCCCTTTTGTCGATTTGTACTTTGAAAAATGTGTCCTTAACGTGTGTCTATAAGTATAATATGTTAAATATTTAAATTCTACTCTGTCTACAAATTTACAAATATTTATTAGGCAACAATTACGTTTAAAATAAACATAATTTATTGCGGCATTTGTTTAATTAAAACATTTGCAAGCAAATATAGAAACAACTCTTTAAACACAATTTCCTTCAATTGCTTTTCCCTCCGAACGGACATCATAATTTTGCACATGTTTTCTATTTTTGAAATAAAATATGAATTTTAATTAGAAAATTAGCTCTTGTTGGTTTTGCATATGGTGCGTGTGGCCGATATTTGCCGAAAAGAACACACGTATGTGTGTGTGTGTAGTGGTAGATATAGATTCCCATACACGCACAACAATTTTATAAATGCTTGGTTGCAATTTACGAACGCACTGCCGATCATGGCGCGAGAGAGCAAAATACTCGTGGACTAGGAGAGCGAGAGAGAGGAGAGAGAGGGAAAGAGATGAAGCACCCAAAATAGAGAAAAAATCGGAGGAAAATGTTCAATTTTCACGCAGGCATGTTCTTTCATACAATACCGAAAAACATTTTCGGTGGCGCACACGAAAAGTCTCAATCGAGACGTGGGAAAAGGCAGGCAGAGTCTCGGCAGCGCTCAGCACCGCTCAACACCGCTGCTGCAGGCGGATTTTCACGGCGTGCCGGGCAGTTTTCTTTTGACAACGCGCCGAGTCGCACAAAGCGTGCCAGTGGCCGGAAAATCGCGCGAGGCAACGAACAACCGTAGAGGCATGCGACAAATGTGTGTGCAGGCAACAGCAGCAACAACAACAGCAACAACAGCAACTTTTGCTAAATTTAAAAATAACAGAAAAATGCTGTGGTAGAAAAACAAAAAAGCGAGCGACAAAATATACACAAAGCAGGAAAAAAGTAATGCTGATCAAATGAAAAGGCGGCAGCACAAAATATCAGCGCATAAATAAAACGTCGTGACGTGATCGTGCGTGTGTGCATGTGTGTGTGTGTGTGTGTGAGTGCGTGTGCGTGTTGACGCTTTTGCCGGTGCATCCTCGTCGAGTCGTCTATAGTCGGTGCTCGGAGCTCGGTGCTCGGTGCGTGCCGGCGGATTATGTAAAGTGGCACAAATCGGAGCTGGCGCAAAAAAATACACCTCGTACCACTCGCAGACTAAGTATACTCGTATATGTATTTGTATCTGGGAGGAATCATTCGTACTTGTAATTCGTAAATGCGACGCGTGTGCCGTAAAGTTGCATCTGTCAGATACATTTGGCATTCCTGCAAGAGCGACTACACATATACACATATGTATCCACATGTGTGTGTGAGCAGTAAATGTCTCTAATTTATTTTGCATTTATTGCAATTGAGAAGCCAGCCAGCCAGCCAGCCAGCCAGCCGGAGAACTGCACGAAACACAATCAACAAAGTTTGTGCCCCAAAGATTTGTCTAATTGTCGTCAGTACGTAAAGTGTTTGTGTGTGTGTGTGTGTTTGTGCAACGAGGCGTGCCAGCGCCCAGTATTGAGTTACGAGCTAAATCATTTAAAAGAATAAACATTTTTTGCCTTGCCGTTAAATATAGAGCAAGAAATTGTTGGCCGAAACTAAAGTCCAACATACATTTAAACGCTTCAACTACGACAGCCTCAGGGCAATAAATCTGTTTAAATGCTGCCATTTTCAATTCGCATTTCGTCAAAATAAAGAATTGAATTGAAAAAATACCAAATATACAAACAGAGAACAGTGCAAGTAAATGAAAAGGCATTAAACAATTGCCAGCAATTGTATATAAAAGCGCGTGCCAAAAACAAATAACAAAAAAAAAAAACAAACCGAATCAACATGTCTTCGTATCGCAGTTATGTAAGTAAAGTTCATGCTAAGTATTGGGGATCTGTAGCCGGATCTGAATCTATTAACGCAGACGCAGTCAACGCTACACAGAGAGAAAGTAATACAAAGTATACTTGTATATAAAAGATAATTCTGATCTGTCTTTCCTTCAATATTTATTCTGCTGCAGTTCTTTTAAGAGATGCAGAGTTTGTTTGGATTCTAAACTTAACAAAATTAGGACTCTTTTATACCAGATATAAAGACGATTTTTGCAAAAAATAGCTTTGAAATTCTTCACAAATATTCATGAAGAAGAAGAAGAAGGTCCTTATTTTTGCGACACAATTTAGTAAATAATTGAAGGTGTTGTTTTTGATTTGAACCTGAAATGAAATAAACTAATTATTAGAAAAAATTAGTGGGAAGATATTCTGCCCAGAAAGGGATTTCAATGGACAAAGCACCGAATAGGTACCATCAATATTTAAGGAGCCCCATCAGTTTACAATTTTGTGACTAAAACATTAACAAATTTTCCAGCCAATTTGTTCTCAGCGTACTAGCCTGCTTACTCGTATAATGTTTCGAAAACTGTTTGTTGTTTGCAATTTTCTAAACGCTCGCATCTCTGTTTTCTTTCGTTTTGTTCGTTCCTCTTTATTTTTCGTGCTATTTTCAATTTGTTTATTGAATTTTCATGCCATTCAATTGTTATTGTTTCGGTTTTTGTGCCGATTTCAAAGCGTCGTGCACCTCACCCCACCACCGACTACAACAACAAAAACAACAACGACAGTAATAGTAGCAACAACAATGTATCTACAAATGCCTTTGCTCGCCTTTTCGCATTTCAGTTGAAGGTGTAGGTGTCTGTTAATGGCCCAATTCCATGCTCAACAAACTAAAACCTTGTGGATCAGTTGTTGGTGCCGTTGTTGTTCTTCAAATAATTGTTTCTAGACTATGTAATTTTATTTCATTCAACTGATGACTTTATATCTACATTTTGAATGATGCGTGCCTGGTGCGGATACAACAAATAGGTTTAATTGCAATTGATTTCCAAACAATGCTACAAACTCATTGAGTATAATTAGGTAGCTATTTCAGTATACAACATAATTGATAAAATGTTAAACATTTTTAAATGAACTGTAAAATTGAATTCCAAAAAAAAAAAATGCCTGCTAAGTAGAATTTGCCAATTAGGGATTGGAAATATGTAGATTTCCAATACTACCTGCGCGCTGTAACAAAGACCTGCTTTTCTAAAAAATCTGCATTATTTTCGGTCCATCACGATGAGATGAATTTCGACTGCAATCGCATTTCTGCATTTGTCATCAACTACTGCATTCGTATGGAGCCCTTACTTTTCGCTTCATCATCAATAACTGAGCAATTGCTTTCGGAATGCTATGTTAGGATATATCTTAAAGCTTCTCTGGAAACTATTTGTGATATCTTAATAGCGTTTACCCTTCATCTACTTGTATTCTCGCATTTCCATAACTCAGCTGGTTGGCCTTAGTGTCTCATCGTCTGTCTATTATCAAGAACTGCTCGACCGTTACTGCTCGGGAGTGTACTCTGTTTTTATTTATCAGAAAGCTTTCCTACCAGTGTGTATCCCTCATCTTTCGTCTTTAACCCCAGATGGACTTTTATGGCTTATCATGCAATTCAATAGCAAGCTATTCTCAAGCTTTCAATTATAGATGGTGCTCATCAAAAAGTGCGGAATTTTGCTTTCCGAAGAATCTAAACTTGATTTAATTACCTTTGGCTTTAACCCAAAGGTGCCCTCCAAATGAATGTAAAACTTTGCGCTTCAACATATTGTCGTTTGGTATATATATCGCAGTATTTTAGTATTTTCTTAGACAATGCACGCACATTTTACATATTGGAGACTTTGTTCACACACACACACACACACACACACACACACACACACACACACACGACAGCTCTATCCTCCGGGTTTTGTTTTGAATACTACACTTAAATTTGTACGTTTTCGGCCGTCCGGCTAAACAGCCTCCTGAGTTTAAAAAACAATAGACGTCCCCAGCATGAAACGTGACAGCAACAGCGATTGGAGTAGGATCGTCTATTGCTTGGGTAGCCATATTTTCTTACCACTCTGGTAGTCTTCCTGCCCAATGATGCCCAGGTTGCGTGTTTCGGGCACAAAGGGATCCCAGGTAGGTGACTTGGGGGGGTTCTTCTCTATGGCATCGCGCATGGCACGCATCCCCAGCTCGAGAGCGCAACTATTCGAGTTCCGATCGGGTGGCTGCTGCGTAAAGGGTCCATTGAAGTGTACATAGATGTCGCCCTGGGCGGCCAAGTCTAGGCCATAGGTGGTGAGCTCCTCACCCAGCACCAGCTGGGAGGCGGAGTTGTCGCTACGGAATGCTGTGCGTATGTTTGAGAGAAGTCCTGTGAGTCCGTAGCCATCGGACAGCAGGTTGTTGGAGGCAAAGGTCGGCTGCTCCTCATTCGAAGGACCGAACCGAATGTGCTCGCCAAAGACTTCGTTGAAGGTGGGCAGGCAGCCTGGCTCGTTGTAGAGCGATGGAAAGAGGCGGTATTCGCGAAAGTTTGGTAACTCGTTGGTGGGCGCACCCTGTGGGTTGGTCTCTTCCGTTTGTCCCATTTCGTTGAATAGCTCCGATGAAATCATCTCAGGTTTCTCAGCTCGAATAGATTCAGAATTCTTCACTGAAATGTCAGCTTGAAATGATTTTTTTTGCTCAGATTGTTGTTGCTTCTCGGGCTTCTCAGTTAACAACTGGACGGAGCTGTCATTATTTGTATTGTTGTTGTCGTCGTCATTATTGTTATTATTATTGTTGTTGTTGTTGTTGTTTTTGTTGCTATTACTATTACTATTCATCTCGTACTCGCTGTCGAAACTGAAGCTACTGCCCCCATAACTGCAATCACTGTCCGTGGTCTCCTCACGCAACGCGAAGGTCTCATTAAACTTGCAGGACGGACGACTACACATCTTGCTTCCAGCTCCTGGTATTGCTTAAATTCTGGGGGTAGTCCAGCGAGGCTAGCCCAGCGCGATCCAATATGGGGCTTATGTTAGTTTGTAGTGCTACTGGCGACGAAGAAATAAATTGTGTGTATCGATTGTGATGTGAAATATTTAACAGATATACTTGAATATTTGAATGACTGACAGACAACATGGCCTGCTCAGATCAATCAGAAAATATACATATGTATGTATGTACATACACAGAGAATATTACAAATTGTACATAATTCACACTTTGTTAATTAATTAGGTGGTGCTTGGGGCAGCACTCCACAAAAAGAACTATCCACTTTATGTGTGTCGTAAATATTTACAACTTCCTTGCTGCCACACAGACGCCGGCACTAGGGCTCATAAAATCGTACTCCCCCTCCAAAGGGAAGAGGGCTTGTTTTTCCTTTCACTTCCATTTATAGAAAATGTGCACCAAAAATAGTTGCACAGAACTTGCAGCTGGAAAACGGAAACTTGTTGCAACAATTTATGGAGCGATTGCAGTTTGCCAAAGATATTTAATTGATTTATGCCTTTCGAGCTTAACCTTTGCTTTCGATATGACTTTATGGGGCGAGCGTGTTTGGGGCAAAATGTTTGTTCGCCATCATAAAATCTCAAAAGTTACACATTCCTCTTTCTCAATTCGTGAAACGCATTTAGATAAATTTTCAACGCAATGTTGTCGTCGATGTCGTCGTCGTCGTCGTCGAGCAGACGACATTGCCGAAGACGATGAGGATGAAGATGAAGATGCTGAGGAATCCGATGATGATGCCAGAAAAGTGAAACGTTTTAAAAATAAATCATTTGTCTGCTATGCGGCACGCGAATGTTGTGTTCTGTTCTATTCTGTTTTGTTTTGTTTAGTTTAGTTTGGTTTGGTTTCGTTTTGGCTTACAAGTAGTTTATGGCTGTTGGCTGCCAAAAAAGAAACTAAAAACAAACTGAAATTTCAACTCTGTTGCTCAACTTGCTCGCTAAATGCATAATCACTTAGCCGTGTGTTGTAATGGGCTTCAGTCCTGCAACTGCAATATTTGTACGGCCTGACAGTTAAACAGCAGCGCCTAATTGAGTCCACCCTACATTGAGCTCAACCAGACGCCGTCAAATCCGCCAAGACACTCCAACCTCATCAGCCACCGAACAAAGTACACATGGCAGCCTCATCAGCCCAGCCTCATCAGCCCAGCCCACCAGTCAGCCCGCCAACTATCCAGCAAGTGCACAGTTTTCCTCCCACTTTTCCGCACTTCCTGTCCCAGCTCCGGTTGCTTGCATTGCACATTTTTGCGTTATTTGTGTTTTGCATTCCATTTCACTGAGCAGAAAACAACAACAACAGCAATAACAATTAGCTTTGGATCTTGCCACTGCACAAGTATTCATCTACTTACTATATATATAGTATATAGTATGGATATAAGTACGTTTATTTGTATGATAAATGTCATTTTGTGGGGCGCTTGTGGCGCCAGCGAGATCATGAGCCTGAGTTGGCTTGGGGGCTGCCTAGAAGCGATCCATTAATTAAGATATTTGACAGAAAGTCACGCCAAGTAATATTCACATTTACATGCCTATGGGTATGAGAAATTCCCCTCAATAACTGTGGAATGCACTTGTTCTTAAAACTACATATTTGAATGACAAATTCCACCTTCAATTAGTAATGTTATAAACGAGTTGCGGACATTCAGGCTCGGCATTAGAGGGCTAATAGCTTGTGTGCGCCAAGAACTGATTGGCTCAGTCCACATTATTTTGATATTTCTCAGAATCCACTTATATGCTATAATTAATTAGTGTTTCAATAATGTACTATTATGTTCTATGCTGGGACAGCACATCTAAGTTACACGATTTTTGAAAATCATTTTTTTAATTGTGATAAAAAAGCACTTATATGTGAGTACCATGTGGAATTGTGCTAAAAAATTGAAAATTTATTTTTATTTTTAAAAGGTGCAAAATATATTCTTAATAAATATTGGTTGGTGAGGAAATCAGAGGGAAATAAATATTTCGGGAATTGCATCCAAAAAGCATGAAGTTGACATTTCTTTCTTCCTTCCTGCCGGTAGTGGAATAAATTTCCAATGTATGTATTTTTGAAGAAACTTTACAAGCACTCACAATATAATTATATGTACTACAAGTATACATGCAGAACCGTTGAACTCAATATGTATCGAGAAACGCGCACTTCTAGTTGAGCAAAATGAAATTTAAATTTTACTGTAACAATCCATAAATACTTAAAATTATTCATTTTAGACACATCAGCAGTTACACCTCTTTAAAAATGTAAACTACCTATAACGTTTTTAGTATATATAATTTATTTATTGACTATTCATTCAAAAGCTACAGATAACCCAATTAATGTCCAACTAAAAAAAACTTACTTTGTAATTTTGTTTTTTTTTTAAACAATTTTTTCATTATCTTTTTTCCAATCCATCAAAGCCACAACTTCGTCGTCTCTTCTCGCTCTGACTAAAAAGAAGGCAACACAAATAGTCCATTATTATGCAACTAATTTTTATAATCAGATGATTCCCGATTAGATTTTCGTTTTTCGAGTGCCAAAAACTATAAAAAGCCAACATCGATTTTGCAATGTTTAATGGCTGTCTGGGCTGGCACAGAGAACGAAACCAAAATGCGGCAACCAGACATTGGCAAACGTCAACTCTGTGTACAAACTGTAAAGGGCAAAATATATACACACATACTCGTTCATAAGCATTCGTACATACATATATATATAGAGCGGCGCTACGATATGTCTATCTCCCTGATACGAGCAGACTAGCACGTATCGGACGCATCTAATGCGCTGAGCGGCGCATTAGAAGGCGCAGATGTTGAAATAATCGAAATGAATCTGTTTACACGTCGAAATTAATTGAAAAGCGCGTGGTTACAGCGCCATTTAATTGAAAATGAAATAGGAGGCAATGAGTGGGGCAGGGCTGGGTACGGTACGGTAGGGTAGGGCTGGCCTGGTCTGGGCTGGTCTGGTCTGTTCGGGGCTGGGTTGGGTATTGGTCTTGCCATGGCTCGATTCTTTTGAGTGGCAGCTGCACGAGTGCTTGTAGGGTGGTGTTGATGTGCGATACGACAAAGACGACGACGACGACGACAAAGATGATGATGAAATGGGTGCACGCTTCAAGCGCTTGCGAATAATTGTCGAGTGCATCTTTCAATGAGCCATGAAAATACTGAGGGCGGCTGTGGGTCGAGTTTATGGTACAACGAGTATGTTGCAAGCAAAGTGCCAACAATTTCGAATTTAAGTGAGACAATCAATCAAATATTGCCTACCGATTACAGTTATCGCATGATTCTTCAACATAAATTCTCAGAGAATTGACTGTTGATGGCTACTTTAAAATAATGTTTTTACCTATTTCATAAAATAAAGCCTCAGAACTTTTATTGAGTATTATTTCCTTTTATGAAAATAGAGACTGCGTCAATGCCCCTTTTAGATAGTTCCCTTATTTGATATTTGAATCGATAGAAAACCGATTAATATTCAATTATCTTTTCTCTTACAGACGCCCTGGAAAACGAGCCTGGGCAGCAGCTACAAACCAGGCAGCTCAACGGTAGGAAATCTAATCAAATTTCAATGTACATATTTTGTTAACTGCAGAAATATTTTCAGTACTCCTCGCGGGATGATATTGCGGGCTCTTCACGTTACAGCTCGCTGGCCACCCCCAGCGCCTACAGACCATCCTTTTCGGGTGGCACCTATCGCATCAAACGCGAACAACCGCCTGCCCCTGTGACCAGTTATGTTAGTCGCTATGGCAGCGCGAAAAGCGATCCCAAGGACACAAGTTCCAGCGATGTGCGAGACAAGAGCAGTCCCATTAAACGCTATGTGGGCGGCAGCAGCACTTTAGGCAAATACGGCCGTTCCCGAGATCCCAGTCCAGTGGCGCTGGAGCATACGAACCGCATAAAGAGCCGCGAGCCAAGTCCAGTGAGAAGCGGCCTGCGTGGCAAGTCGAGAGATCCCAGTCCCGTAATTGACTCTGGTCGTAATAAGTTAGGGAGTGGGTCTTACCGGCTGGGGACCGTTGGGAGCTCAAGCAGTGGGAACAGCAGCACATCCAGAAATGGTTATGGTAGTCGTTATAGTGGAGCAGGCAGCAATACACGCCTGAATACTGCAAACCTGGACAAATCTATTTCGTACTTAACCACAAGTGATTTCCATGCGCGAAGTGCAAGTCGCGCTAGGGAGCTGGCCACACGGAAATCAAATGAAAAAGAGTTGGAGACAAAGGCAGCTGCCGAAGAAGTAACTGCCCCACCCATTCTGAATGTGAATGGAGCGGCCGTTAGTGAGACAGATAGCTCCGCGGAGGAGGAGCAGCCGTCAGGGGAGCAGGAGACTTTCATCTCAGTATCCGTTGTAACGCGAGCGACTTCTCCCACACCGCCAGGCAGTACGACGGTACAACGAACGCGGCGCATCGATCCGGCCAAGACCATCGAAAAGACCATACAACGTTCAACGAAGCCCCGTCAGATGGCGACCAAAGAGATACAATCTGATCGGTTAGACGATTCGACGCGCTATTTGCGTTACAGCGCCGGCAGCAGCGTCTCCTCCTACAGCTCCCACAGAGACCGCATAAGCAGTCTGCGCTACAGCGCCAGTCCGCAGTCTGGCACGAACAGCAATAAGTCCTCCAGCATCGAACCCTCCAGGCAGCAGGAGACCCCGTCGAAGAGCCCAAGCAATGGGCACTCGAGCACCTCCAAGTCCAGCAGTAAGTCCAAGCTATCTCCACCCAAGGTTGTGCGCCTTAACTCGCGGCAATCATCGGTGGAGAATCTGACCAACAAGCCGCCGGCACCACCTTCAAAATCCGAATCGCCCACAAAAACGACTAGCAGTTCCAATAGCGCCAACAGCAATGGTGTGGCCGGTGTGGTCAAATGGCCTAACAAGGACTTCCGCAAGAGTTCTCTTAATGTGGGGCCCACAGACCGACCGCGCAAGTCCCGTACGCCTAGCAGTAGCGGTGAATCCGACAATCCTCTGCAATTGCCAGATAAGGAAGCACCGACACAGCCCAATCGTCTGGAGCGTTCACCCAGTGGCGGTTCCGAGGCGAGTATCACATCGGCTGGCTCCCTGGCCAGAAAAGGTGCCAAGGTCGCCAACGGTCGTTGCCATGCCAAGGCGTCGCTAAGTCGCCAGAACAGCGGCGCACAACCGAAGGCGTCGCATAAATCATGCGCGCCCGCTAAAGAACCAAACACTGCCAGCTCCTCTGCCTCCGTGTCCGCCTCCTCCTGCTCGGACAGTTCGAGCGAGCAGCAACGGACAAAGGCCGGCAATAAGAAGCTTGCCAAGAAAAAGACGTCCAACTCCCACAATACCAGCAGCAGTAGCAATGGCAAAGAGGCGAAGGCCAAGCCGACAGGTGTGACTATTGATGAGCAGGAATTGTCGCCAGAATTGTCGTCGAATCACGAAAATAGACACAATCAAATAGCAGCGACTGACTCATGCCCACAGGCCCAAGAGACGAAGCAGCAGCAGTCGCAGTCGCAGCAACAATCTTCAAGACGATTGCAGAAACTCTCGTCTGTATCGAATTTTTTCGCCACACGTCAGCATGACGCAAATAGTGAGCCAATATTCCTCGAAAGCTCCGAGAGCTCTGGCGAATTGGATGCCCTGCCGCCGTCTAGCAGTCTAACGACAGATTTCAAAACGAACGCAACGAACTTTTCGACCATCACGACAAATACGTGTACAACAACGACCCCGACGACGACGACGACGACGACGCCCACGAGTGCCCAAGCAGATCAGCTAACGACAGCGAATATAAGCAATACTGAGTTGGATCCACCGTGTACGCCCAGAAGCAGCAGCCAAGTCAGCTCCAGTACGCAACATCCGCGGGATACAACGACCACAACAACTACAACCACTTCGGTTAACGGCAAAGGCTCAGAATATACAACCTCCTTCGCTGTGACCAGCAGCAACACAACCACCGAGGAACCTGAGCAGGAGGACGAGGAGCCTAGCTGGTGGCAAGACACAAGCTTACAAATAAATACGGCTTCCGCCTTAGATTACAACAATCGAGACGAAATGCGCTTCAAGCTCAGACACATAGACTCTGGGGAGCAGGCCTGGTGGTTGCGTCAGGAGCCTGGCGGTGACGAGGATGACACGCTGGCAGAAGAGACACTGAACCAGCTGGACGATGAGGCCGATGACGCCGATGCCACTGAAGCAGCCGACTATAGTCGCAGTGCTTCGACCGGCGCCAAGTCGCAGCGGCAGAGCAGCAAAGCGGACTGGTGGAGCAGCGCGGGTGTCGACGAACAAGAAACGACAAATGAAGCACAACGAAACGATCTAAATGGTAAGTGCAGTGAAGCGGAGAAGCAGGACGAGAGCTGGCAGGCAAAGCAAATGCCACGCAGTCGCATCTCGCCGGAGCACGATGCCTGGTGGCTGGACGAAGAGGAGAAGCCCCAGCAGCAGTCGACGTCCCACAATAAGGAGAATGTGCCACAGCCCTCAAATGGCGTCAGCTGGTGGACTACGGAGGATGAGAACAACAATGAACCGCATGTGGAGGCGACCATAAAGCTGCCCAGCAAGCAGCCCGCACCACTGGAACGCTCGCCAAGCAGCCACAAGAAAAGTGCCAGCAGCAGCGATAGCAGCAAGCATTGGTGGCTCTCCGGTCCGTCCAAGAAACAGTTCAATGTGCAGCGTGTGGAGTCTGGGGAGCGTGCCTGGTGGCAAGAGGAGCCTGCACCACCGGCACCATCGACACCAGCACCACCCGCACAGCCGCCCACTCCGCCGCCACGCATACTAAAGCACTGGGAGTCAGGGGAGCGTGCCTGGTGGCTCAACGACGATGACGCTGAGAATGAGCCACCGCAGCAAAAGAGTCACGACAACTCATCGATGAAGCTTCTAGAACGGGATCAAGTTGATTTTCAAAATGGCTGCCAGCATGATGCGGAAGTGCAGCAAATAAATCAACATGCCAATAAGAAATCGGTGCCAATTGGCAACGATACCGTTAACAATGCCGCTGCCTGCGAGCTAAGCAGCTCCTTCAATTTCACCTTTGCCGTACGTCCGCCCCCACTCGGCCAGTGCGCCAGCCCCATAGCGGTGGATGCACCACCCACACCACCGCCACGTAATCAGTCCAAATCACCCTACGACAACATTCCAATGTCAAAAGTTCAAGTGGCAACAGCAACAACAACAGTGGCGCAAGCATTGCCCGCATCTCCATCATCGCCACCCACTTCTCAACGCTACTCGCCAAATGCACGACGCGCCTCAACCGCTGCGAACGGTGGCAAGCTTTTCATTTCGCGGCATCAAAACATTGACGAGCTTTTGGGTGGCGCATGCCGCCCACTCAGTCCGCTCTTCTACGGCCACAACGATAACCAGACGCCGCTCGCCAGCAAAAATATGTTTCTGCTCGAAGAGATAACGCCGGATCAGGTGCGCATTCACGACAGCACCGCACAGCTGCCGGTCATACAACGCATGCAGCGGTGAGTACCACAGAGAGAGTAAAAGCTCGCTCTCCCCCTCTACTCACCACACACGAACTAAACAAAGTTCAACGAAAACAGAGATAGGAAGAGTGATAAGCTAAGAGAATGCATTTTGTGACATCACAACTTTATGACAGATAATGCACTGATCGCTATTATTTATCAGAAAATATTGAAGTGCACATATTCGATTTACAAATATATGTGGTTTTTAAGCATCGGCTCTTTTAAAAAAAGATCCAGCTAATAATAAGGACTTCATTCGATAGATAGAAGTAATTTTCCAATTAAATCAACAAAGAATTGAAATATCAAAGTTTAGGCTAAAAGCTTTTAAGACATCTGAGAACAGAAACACATGACTTTAATGAAAATAAGGAATTTAATCATTTTTAATAATACTAAATCAGGATGTCTGTAAAAGTAGTAGTTCCGGAAAATGTGTGATAAATATTTGTACACAGACCAAAATGGGAATAATTAGGTTTTGGATTCTACCATACTTACTATAAATATAAGGTTAACAGCTTGACAAACCGGATCTGGTTACCTTTATGCAAAGTGAACTCATAATTAATTGACAATAAGAGAGAGAGAGATGATAATTGCGCCTTCTTTTTGTGCTACCTTTAATTTTGAAGCAAGCTCCCTTCCTCTCTCTCTTGCTCTCTCTCTCTCTGGTGCACTCTCTTCCTCTTAGCCACTTTCTTTTGTTGTGTGGTGAGTTTCATATTTATTGCTAACATGTGGTTGACTTACACTTACAAATGCGCATTCCTTTCTCTCTGGCAGCGATGAATGGGGCAGCGACAACAACAACAGCCACGGTCACAAGTTTTACGATCAGCACAGGGTGAGTAGCCAGATGAAATCCCTAATCATTTAGCAGCCACGGTATGGGTATACAAGAATACACATGCTTACATATGTACATACAAGTATGTATGTATGTATGTATGTACATATTTCGACATGCAATTGGCAATGTGCCCGGGCCATAAGATATGAAAACTGTTACGCTATCGAGTGCCAGCAGCGAGCCACCCACGCTTGTGTTTATTTTTTGCAACGCAAAGGCGCGGCTGCACATTATCTTATAAGTATGTATGCTCATATATACAAGTATAAATGATTGCATATAGCATATAGTATATGTATAGTATGTACTTAAGCACCAAAATATATTGGTCACAAGCGCTCGTTCCCAACCATCATCATGGCAAAGGGCAAGGCTTGGCGTGGCCACACCAGGCCAAGCCAGGCCAGACCAGGCCCTCCATCTACGGTGGTGGCGGCGCGTAAGCTTCCTGCTCGCCGCTTTTATCGGCGGACGCATCTCAAGAGACTTGGCTTGAATGACAGCCGCCGCTGCAGCTTGTCGGCGTGTGACTCAGAACACGAACGCGAACACAGCCGACCGAGCGCGGCACAAAGCGCAGCCCAGGCATAACAATGCACACACACACTAACAATACTACACACACACACACACACACATACACGATATTATTATCTTAATTACACAAAGTCAGTCGTCAGAACTTGGCTTACGAGGAGGGCTTGAGGAATAGCCACATTCACTCACACTTGGAAATCGTCTAAATTTATCACTCAATTGCTATTTCAAAAAAAGATTTTTTTTCAAGCTGTTGAACATTCCTAATTTTCAATTAAAATATTTCTGTACAGCATGTTTGGATCAGTTTTCTTTTTGGCATTCGACTACTTAAAGCTACAACATCGACAAAGTAGGGCAGTTATTAATGAAAGCCCAGTTCGATAAACAAAAGGCTACAGCAAATTATTTGTTGTTTAAATAAACTGAATTTAATTTTATCTTCATCTTTTGGTAGTGATTTATTTGGAAGACGCCATTATTCTAAAAGTCTTTGATAAAGCAAAGCATCACTTTTAAAAACAGAAGATTGTCATATTTAGAACATTTAAATGTTTTTGATTTTGATTTTTATTGAAATACTGCTACATTTCACATATGTACATATGTTTGCAGTTACTCTTTATCGATAGGAGTTTGAACAAAATATGGTAGCCTTAGTTAGAGTTTTAATGCAAACATTCCTGACCCAACTCAACCAACATATGCATTTGTTAGTAAGAGTTTCTTTTTCATAACTTCGAAAAAGACAATAATAATTTGATGCAAGAAAAAAAACATATTTCAACATACTTTTTAAAAATGTAATATTAAATTTTATTGACTAACCTTGAGAGCTGCGGATTCTGACATTGCTTTTGACGCTGAAGCCAGAATTTATAAAAAAAATCAATTCGATTAATTGGTTTTTTTAATTTCTGAAAAAGATTATGAAAGATTATGTTAAAGATGATTGCATATTTTGAATAATATTAATATACTCGTGTGTATAAAATAGTAAAAATATTCTTGATAGTGCTCTTGGCGACCTTTGCTTTGTTTCAGTTAATTTCTAGGCATTTTGTAAACAATCTTTGGACCAGCCCTCGATTGAGCCACAAACGTTTGGTCGCAACGCTTCGCTCCAATTTCAAAGTGGCAAGTTTTTTGTTTGTTCTCGCGGAGCTTTTCGGTTATATGGGTCATAAAGAAATTAGTATGCACATAAAGGCAAATCAAGCGGCAAGTCGAGTTGTTAACTGTAAACTGCACTGCCGAGTGTGATCGTGTATGTGTGTGTGTCAGTGTCTGTGTGTGTGCATTAGAGAGTGGCTTTTATTGTTTGGCAGAATGCCGGCAAAGGTCACACAACACAACCAGCTGGAGAGGTAAAGACAAAGACCGGCGCGACTTAAATATCTTGAAAGCATTCTTAATGCAATTTACTTACATATTGCTCGAAAGAACAACAATTGAAAAGCAGAACTTTGCAAATATTTAAATATTTATTTTCTTTTCGTTTTCAAGACTGCGCTATTTGTTTAGCAAGCCAAGCGCAGTTTGTCTTACAAAATGGAAATCGATCATAAAAAACGAGAGTGCATTCAACTTGAATACCAAAGAATGTTCTCAGTATTGAAGAATTATCAATACAGTATATCTTCGATATTTCCCTATTTCGGGCTAATACGATCAAGAAAGCGTTAAAATATTATTAATATTGATTGTATAATTAGTTAATTAACTAATTCTAAAACATTCTTTTAGCAGTAGATAGTTTATTCGTTTTGAAGAAACATTTTAATATTTTTCACTTGATTTATGTGTTTATATTTTCCATGTTCTTATATTATATTCTGTTGCCAATTCACGAAGTAACTTGGCTAAACAATTCTGAAATTTTTTTATAGATTTATTAATTTACAATAAGTGTAATTGTGAAAAAGTTTCAAAATCCAATAACCAAGCAGGACTATAATATTTTCATAAAGGAAAAAGGGCATCAACATCTCGAATAATAAGAACGGTCCTACGGTTCGCTATCAACGGCAGGTCTTTGGAATAGGGTGGTAAAAAAAAGATAAGAAACCCAGTTAAGATCAAGAAGCGCAAAAAGAAGCAATTGTGTCTGGACAGTTGTCCGAACTATCAAGTGTCCGAGCTATCGGGATCGCACTGTACCATTATTGGTGAGATCTAAAGCATCGGTACTGTGTTTGCGTCTCAACTCTGAACCGCCAGCACGACAATTAAGTGACTAAGTTGTCGCTCAGGAGTCCAAAAATAGCAATTGGCATTGATGCGTAAACTTAAAAAACCGAATTACATTATAAAAGACCATTTCGTTTTATTGTGCGTACGAAAATGTGTTTGCGACATTTGTTAAATACGCAATTGTTTTAATGACAAAAATCACGGCAGACAGACAAATCAGCAACAGTTGTTGCGGCTTCGATGATTCATTCTCTTGGGTTTATTTCTGATGCTGCCTTTGCCGAAGGCCTGCCTCTGCAATGTTTATTTATCACTCTACTTGTAGCGTCATTCTTAACAGAAACAATGCATTACGCGTGTACGAACATTCAAGTACTATATACTATAGTCGAAGCTGTTATCACAAATAGTTATCAATTTCGAAGCATTCCAATTTCGATTTAATTAACAAAGGCTACAAATATTACAACCAAATACCTACAGCTCAATTTCAATTTAAATGCGTCACAGAAAACTCCCTCATTTGATTTGCCAAATTACTTATATTTTCAAAAAATTTACAGTTGAATTATATATACTTGTATAAAAAAAAAAATAATGAAATACAAAATAGGCAAAAAATATGTACGTGTATAGCAATATACATGATTTGAAAACGCAAAAAATTAATTCGCTTTTTTTTGTTCCGGCGAAAACCAAATATTTAGAAAAATATAGTATGTACTATCGCTTAAAAAAAAAAAAAAAAAAAAAAAAAAAAAAAAAAAAATTGCGTAGGGATATTCTCCTTATATTCAGTTCGACTTTCTACTTTGTAGGGGCCCACTAAAGTTTTCATATTTGTTAAAATATGTACATAGTATATATTGAAAGAATATCTGAGTTATCTAAATAGACGATTATCTAAATACGATTGTTTGAAAATGTCTTAAAACATCGAAGGCGGTAACCAAATAACTTTCAGAGGGAAATCAGTTGAATGTTCTTATTATATTTTGCCATTTACTTTTACTTTCACTTTTAAATTTTTGATCGTTTTGAACATTTCTTCAAGCTTGTCGCGTTCTGGCGAAAAACTATTTGACATTTTCAAGAAGACAGTCTGATCTATGATCTGGTCTTCCCGCATGGCACAATTGCGTAAAAAATCAGAATTAAAACGAATTTCAATTTTCTGGGACGTATTTTTCCAGTAGTGCCGAAAGGCCTATTTTGTCGTCTTATGAAAAAAGTTGTATTCAATTCAAACCCAAATGTATTCCTCATAGTCTACAGCTTTAACGAACCCTAAGTGTGCACAAATTTGCATTTACCAACACATATGTATGTATGTACATTGCTTCTATATGTGGAACACAGTGCACCAATTGAGTAGTTCCTAGTATTAATTGAGATTCTCGTATTTATCAGTT